TATATCTCGGCATGGCGCCAAAATACAACATACTCATCATATACATATATTCATATTTTTTATTATATATTTATAATCAGCATATATCTCCTTTAATAGTCTCATATAGAGCGCTGTGCTAAACGCACCTTTGGACACCCTATAGTTTCAGATAGTATGTTCCATTTAGTAAAGAGTCGTATTTTTCTTGAAATTCCCAATAATATTTGTTCATTTGAGTTTGAAAGTCATTTAGAGTTTTCTCAAGACTTTCGTCTGAACGAACTGTAAAGATTCTCATTTCGTCAAATTTGTCTATTAACATCAGAACCTTTATACTGCCCATGAAATATACTGCGAACATAAATGCGTTAGTTCTATTTGAAAACAAAATCTTCTAAATCCTATTGCCTTTGCATCTGAAGGACTTTGAAGCCAACGAATTGGATAGTCAAACCTGTATGCTTGGGATGAATTTTTCTTCATCTGAAATAGTCCTACCAGCATTTGTAAAGATATAGTCTAACGGTTTTGTATCTGCTACTTTTGTTCTTTGTTTTTCAACCTGAAGCATTTAATATATGTAAAAATATATTGTTTTAAAATGGTATGCCATTTCATATTTCTCATCTAAACAAACAAGTTTCCTTCAACTTGAGGTTCACTAACAAACTCAGCGTACATTTCAAATAAAAATTTTTTATTTCATGCAATGTTTTATTTCTGTGCCGTCTTCAAGTATGCCCCAGTACTTACGCTTGGAGGGACATGAACTCAGAAAATACCTTATCTAGCTTAAAACAGCCCATCTTTTCACCGACCATTCCATTTCAATGAGTTGTTGTATCCTTCTTCGTTCGTCCATGAGTGCGTCAATGTTCTCATAGTAACCTTCACTTTGGATTTGACTTCGGAAGAGAATTTGTTGTAGTTTCAAGGACTGCCTTTGCGAACTGAGGGTAAGACCAATGTTCGACAATAGGTTTTAATGTGGTTACTAAGCCACTTTGACCTTGAGTGAATTCGTACTTCAAAACAAAAGGAGAAAACCTTTCAACAAAGTTGTCGACCTTCTCATAATGTTTACTCTTCATCTCTTGAGGTTTTTTAATGGAATATCCCATGTCGAATTCATAAGCAATTTAGTGTCATTGCAAGTTTGGGGTTTGAAGCTTTCCTAATATCATACAGTTGTTGTATGACTTTTCCAACTGTATAGTTTCCTTCCGGAAACTCACCATCTTCGTTTGGAATTCCAGTCGGAATATATTGGACAAACCTCATGTATGCAGCGTTAAGGTCGACATAGTATATCTTTTCGTTTGAGTCGAACTTGTCGCAACCAATTGGTCCAGTTTGTGGAAATTCAAGTGAGTCTCTTATCTTCTGAGAAACTTCTCCTGTTATCTCATAAACATCGTCGAAGCAACCTGTTTTCATATAAAACCTTCTGAACCTAACTCAGAAGCTCTCCAATACAATTTGACGTCAATTGGATGTCTCAATGGAAGTTTGTTTATAGCATCTTGAAGTTCTTGCAACCTCATTGGAAGTTCTTCTGGTTCAGGTTGGTATCCGAACAATCCAACTCCTTGTGGAATTGTGTACTTCTTTTGTACTAGAACTTTGTCTGGAACAACTTTTGGTCTTGCTAACAATGAAAAAGTTTGTTTCGTCTTTTGGTACAAAAGTTTCTGTCAGCTTGTCATCTGGAATTGGTTCCAACAAACCTTTCTCGAAAAGAATGTTTACAGCTCTGACAATGTTGCACTTGCCTTTTCCGAACAATGGGTTTGTAAGACTTTCGTTCAACATGAAGTGGTTGTGGACAATTGCAATCTTCAACCATGGTAAATTGAACTCACAACATAGTCGTCATGTGAAGAACCTTTAGCTGTAGGTATTTTGACTCGGATATTGACATTTGCCAACGGTGCAATTTTGCCAATTGACCTCTGAGAATGTACCTTGTCTTCACACATGACTCAAGATACTTCATCTTCTCATCTGTAACAAGACCAGAGTTCCTGAGACATGTAAGAATGCAAGGTTCATTGACAATTGTTTCAATTGAATTGTAAATTCCATACCTTGTCAAGTCAATGTCAGACTTATTTATGAACGGGAAGTATCCAGCATGTTTGTCTGACTGCTTGAGGGTTAGGTTGGTACCATTCGAACTTGACACTTGCAATTCCTTCAATTGCATTCAAAATGGCTGAGTCGGAGTCAACCATTTGTTCTCTCTTTGTAGTCTTGAAAGCGTCAAGAAGTTTTGCAGCTGTTTGTTCATTGCCATTTGCATAGTAAATGTGACCATCACAAATCTGTTTATGGTCAATCTGAGATTGTATCCTTTCTTATTTCCGCTTGTATGGCAGCAAGTACACCCATGAAGCCTTCTTTGTTCTTTCCTTCGTCAAAGTTTACTGTAAAGGTTCGACCAGATGTAATTGACTTCTAACTTCACGGTACTTCTCATATGCATATCTTGTTCTTTCCATGGGAGCATGACCATCCCTGCACTACCTTTTTTCCTTCTCAAGGATGCAATTGTTCGTCATGTTTCCAGTAGAATCTGGCAAAGCCGTCGTTCCTTCAACTTGAGGTTCACTAACATCGAAAGGCATGTCCATAAGACGTTTTCTTCTAACCTCTCTAGTCTGTTTGGATAATTTGCACGTGCTGTTTCCAAATCCATTTCGTAGCGAAGACCAGCCAGTTTGTCATAGACTTTTATGGGTCTTCCCTTCCTATATTTAAAATTCTTCGAAACTCTCCAACCATATCTTTGCAACTCTGCTTTTATTCTAGCAGATTTTCTATCCATTCTATATGGGGGCATTTTTTATAAAAATAAAAAAATATTTTTTTCTTTACTTTACATAACCACCTGCTGCCATAAGTCTTTGACGCCAACCCATACCAGCTAATGAAGGTTGACTTGGTTTAGTTTGAAACTAAACTTTGGTTTTGGTTTATCTTCAGTTTTTGGTTTCTCTTCTTCTATCGGTTTTTCGTCACTTTTCGGTTCCTCTGACTTTACCTCACCTGCAGGAACAGTTGTGTCGTCAACATCTTCATAAATATTCATATGCCATTTGTTTTTGTTTCCTTTCAACTTTTTGTGTTTGTTGTAAAGTTTAGAATATTTTGACTCTAAGTCAATGAGATGTTCTATAATGAACTGTTGGTCAGTGAAGTAAACTTTTCCATCTGTTGTCTCGAAAGCTCCTTCAGACTCAATATTTTATTTGTGAGAGTCTGTTTCTTTTTTGAGATACTAGCCGTTCCATTTCTATGAAAAGTGACTTTATAGTTAGGGTTTGTATTTCCAGACCTGGCACTTTCTATTATTGAATTTTTCTCTTCATCTGTAAGTTCTTTGACAGGTTTTGACAATGGTTCTGAACTTTTTGTTTGTGGTGTCAAATCTACCGTTTCAACTTCTTCGGTCATTTCATCTCAGTAAAAAATTTTAGTTTGGTTTGTTTTCAACTGGTTGTTTAGGTTTTTTAAGTCGGTCTAAAACTTCCTGAGGTATAGGAAGAACTTGACAAACACGTTGTGTAACTGCTGGAAGTCGACAAATCCATCTTGAACCCATTTTGTCTCAATGCTGTATTGTTCATTTCATCTCAGTAAAAAACTTTATTCCCCAAGTTTGAGGTGGTTGCGGTTGGGTTATTGTTTACCCATTGTTGTGCATGGTTATATCCTCTGTTAAAGAATCTTTCACCTTGGTCCATATAGTGTCCTGCTTGGTTATAGTAGTCATTTGCTTTGTTATAATAGTTTCCTGCTTGTCTTCCTACATTGTCCATCCATCCTTGAACTTTTCCTCTTGTTTCAGGATTTGGAATAAGATTTGTTGCATCTCGTGCTACATCCCAACCTTTCTGTTACAGTTTGTATAATAGGTTGTGCTTTCTCTTTAAGTATACCTAATGTACTCAAAATCTTCCTTCCAACTCCAAATACACCTCTGGCTATTGTTCCCACTGCGGGCAAAAATCTGGATGCAATCCTGCTAATGCGCCAAATAAACCCATTTCTTATAGGATAAAAAATGACGAATCCAAACAAGGACCCCTATGTTTCTAAAGCGACAAAGAAAGCACTCATGATAAAAATCTTTAGTTCAACACCAAATGCTTGGTTTATGGATATCTTGGAAACATTCCGAGGTATAGAGAAGATGGACCACCATACTGGTTAATATTTGTCAGTCAAAACACAAGATACTGTGAAGCCATACCATTACAGTCCAAGCTATTTTAGATATCTTAGCAGCTTTGACAATATTCGTTGACAAATACCATCCAACAAAACTGACATCTGACTGTGAAAGTTCTTTCAAATCAGATGATGTAAAAAACTATCTGCGTTCAAAAAATGTAAACCAATATTTCATTGTCGACCAAAACCATTCTGCTCTTGGTGTCATTGACGGTTGTATAAAAATGTTAAGAGACTTAAACCAACCACAAGGTGGTGAAGCAAATGAAATGTCATATGACGACAATATAAGACACTTCTCCATGGCAAAGATGAGACAAGTTTTAAATATTACAATAGCCGTAAACAAAAAGGTTTGGGAAACCACTCCCCCGAAGAAATGAAAAACAACCCTGACTTAGAGAAAGACTATATATTTAATAATTTAGTCAAAAGAGACAAACAAGAAAGAATGCCGGGCTTCAAACTTAAGAAAGGTGACAAAGTAAAAATAGAAATACCTAAACGTGACCCATATGAAAATACTATTGACTATGACAACAATGGGAACCCGACAGGTACTCATTCGTGTTCGTAAAAATAGAAGAAAGTATACAAGAGAATATTATGAAGTTTTAGGCAAACATGGCAAAATGTTACAGACTGCAAGCAGAAGATAAAACTACTATTGTCAGACCTCGTTTCAAACTTGTCAAAGTTCAAGGTGGTATACTTTCAAAGACAGTTCCTAACAAATATAAGACAACTCCTGACGAATATGCTAAAGAAGTTGAAAATGACGACTAAGCATTTCTATACCATGCGTAAACTGTCATGTAAGGTGGCATGTAGTCTTTACTTTGTCCCGTTGTTTGCGTATATCCTGAAACGCGATGTGTATGGTTTCCTCCTCCCTCAGTGTTACTCCAGTAACAATCTATAGCAAACTTAACGTTGTCTTTAACATCATATCCTTTACCTTTTATCATTGCTGACCAATCCCAATATCTATGCTTATGCCAACCTGCTTGAGATGTACTTAAATCTATGTAGTGACTATGTGCAGGTAAATTTTCACCTGAAATCGTTTTACTTCCACCTGTTTCCTTTGAAGAGTTTGCACAATACAAAAACCTGTCGACTATTTGAGTCCAAGTTCCAAAACCCAGAACTGTTTCTGGATTTGTTGAGTTCATTGACGTATAAATAGAGCCTATAGGATATAATGTTTGAAGTATTTCTGTCTTTAATGTTTGAAGCTCTGTTTTGTCTGCTTTCTTGTCATATAAATCTTGAGCAGTGAATTTAATATTATGTTCATCCTTCATGACATAAACATCTTTACATCTAATGTTTCTCATCGTCGTTATGTCGTCATCCGATGTTAAACCTTGTGGAAAGTTAGGAGGTTTCAATATATTGCATCCCCACCAGTTTCTTCAACCGTTCCTTCAATACTTTCTATAGCAACAGTTGTAAAACTTGTATGTGTATGGTTCTTATTTGCTTTCTTCTCTAACTCATCGTTAACATAAGTTTTATCTGCTTTTAAGGTCTAAACATCCTGAAACCCATCCTGTATCGGCTTTAGTTTTTAAAATCTTTGATGTCCGTTCATGGTACCAGTCAACCCTTTCTATATTTCTTTATCTTTTTCATCCACATATTCCTTATCTGCTTTCTTCTCTAACGCACTAGCCACACAATCCTTATCCGCTTTCTTTTCAAGGCTAACGTTTAAGTCTGTTATTTCGATATAGAATGTGTATGAGTCTTTTTAGAATATTCGTTTTCAGCTCTTGTCACTTCACTTGACATTTTATTGTCAACATATGTTTTGTCTGCTAGTTCAGGATGAGTATGTTCTTTTGTTGCATAAGCATTTTAGCTCTTTCTTCTTTTGCTATTGCATCGTCTACATATTCTTTGTCAGCTTTGTTGTCAACATCTGCTTTCAAAAGAAGTTCATTTATAGGTTTCTCGTTTTAAAGTTCCTTTTGTTGGATTTATACAGACAGTATTGTTCTTCTTGTCTTGAAATAGAAACTCATCTGTCATTGGGTTTAATGTCAGTTTTAAGTTTCCTTCTTTCAATGACTCAGATATCTTAGAATAGTTTGAAAAGTTTGTTGTGTTCTTATTTAGAGCTTGCATAATGAGTTGTCGGTTGTGTTGTATTTCTCTCATAGACGCTGTTTCATTTGACATTTTTATTCTAGATAAAATATGCTTCCAATAGAAAAAGAAAATTCAAGAGTTGCTACAACTAAACCATTAGATGAACTTTTTACTAATGTCGGTCAAAAGTTTGAGACAGAGACCGTAAAGCATGAAGGCTATCGTTTTGACTACCCATTAAGATGGCTAAGAGACCCATCTGTCACAAAAGCTATTGGCTTTCGTAGAATGAAGTTTGTGTCTGTAGAAGATAAAAGTTTTCCATTTATTGTAAGGTTTCATATAGATTATATATCTGAAGGGAAACGAAAAATGTGGGAAGAAATTGAGCTAATACAAGTTGACCTTTCATCTTCTCTACAGACTGCGTTAAAAAATATAGAAGATAAAATAAATTCATGTTATGCAAAATATGCTGATGAATATGCAAATACCGAGAGCACACTTTATGTGAGAATTGTATATGACAAACAAAATTCACAAGTGTCATTTCAAATCTACGAAAACAATCCAAATAAAGACGAACAAATATATACAGAATTCACTGCAATGTCATGGTATTATTTGCAAAGAATGTTAAATCAGAAAGTCGAACTTCCTTTAGCAAATATTTACAGTCGATATGCAAGAGATGAACCATATTTATTTAAAGATGTTTTCGACCCAGCTGCTATTATTGTTCATGCTTCATTTTCTGGCGCCCAAAACTCTTTCTTATGCTTGGCAAATGACTTTTACGAAAAACCTACAAAGTTATACGAACCACCAAGTGGAAGTATTTCAGACTTTCAAGTATGGTTTACTACAGATGGAAGAAAAAGAATAATTCCATTATACCATGCGTTTTACTTAGAACTTAGTTTCATATACAACTACTATCGAACGGTAAAAATATAATTTTTTAATACGGTTGAGGTGTTGGATTTGGTTGCCAACTAGACTGTGGTGCAGGTTCAGGTTGTTGTATAACAGGAGCTTGTTCTTCTGGTTCAGGGTCTTTAGGTATAATACCAACGAACTGACCTACTCTTTTACCAATATTTTTGACACCGTTCCAAATTCCTTTTCCGACAGATTTTATTCCATTCCATATACCTCTTCCAACTCTTCTGAAGAAGTTTCCAATACTACTGAAGAAACCCATTTTACTATATGTAAAAATCTAATGTCCGCCTAGTCTCTTACGTTTCCTGTTGAGTTCCATAGCATTCTTTAACTGGAGCTCATACATTCTGTTTCTCCTCTGGTAGAAAACATATTCTGGGTCAACTCCTGTGTTCGCGTCATCTGCATAAAGTTGTTTATATCCCACTTCAGGGTTTGTATAAAACTCTTTCCATCTCATATTTGCATACCATGGTGGCAAACCTAACGCAGCGTCATTTGACATGGCAGTTTGCATTTGTACATCTGTTGGCACTTGACCATAGTTTGCCATTGCAGTTTGTATTCTAACTTCATTTGGAATATTCTCTGGGTTTGGTTGTCCAGGTTGCTGTGCATTCGCTAAGTTCTGTGCGTCCATTTAATATTAGATAAAAATATCTCTTACGAGTACATATGCTGAACATTTGCAGGCATTGGTTCATCTTCATATTCTCTGTACTTTTTGCCACGTCAAATAAATAAATGACACAATGGAAAAAACCTAAAACAAGTAGTCCGATTTCAAACCACATTTACTTACTAATAAAATTTCTTTGTTATGACACTTTCTCCAGTTTATAGGACCTCTCTCATATTCTATCTTGTCATATATAAACTCATAGTCATGTATGTCCTCTAACCATCTCATAACGGTTTCCAAACCACTTTTATCGGATGTAAAGTAAAAGCATGGATGGTTATGTAAAACGTCTAAAGTTTCTAAAGAGTCTCTCAAAGTCCAGTCTACTTGGTATTGAAAATCCCATGTGTTATAGAACGGCGGGTCCACTATAAAGAAAACATTTTCCTTGTCTTTATATTTTTCATACAAATCTGTCCAATGACATCTCACAAACTCTATACCCTCAATATATTTTTCTATGTCCTCTTTGAAAACATTTGTATAGTTAAGATATAAAACTTTTGACATAAGTGTTTCAATGTCATGAACTCTTATAGCACCACTATATAATAGTCTAGCAGATATACTATTCCAGTCTATATATTCTGCTTTTTTCAAAACCTCTCTCACAATATTTTTCTTATCTAATGGTATACGTTCCATCTTACCTATCTGAATCTTTTCTTTTAACTCTTTCAATATATTGTTAGTGTCTGGAATATGTTTGAGACGGTCCATATAGTTGTCGAAGTCATTGCATATAATCTTTGAGTCTGGGAATATTATATGGCACAAATGGGATATATAGAAACTTCCACCGAACAAATCTACAAATGTTAGACCATTCGGTAGTTTCTTAAGTTCTCTCAATATAATATCTTTACATCTACTCTTATTTCCAAAGAACGGTAACGGTGGTTTTGTAAAATTCATTTATATATAATAATAAAAATGTTTTTTCCTGAAAAGTGACAGAAAAGTGACAAAACATTTACGAAGAAATCATGAAAATTCAAGAGGGTAGAAAAGAGGTTAGAAAAGAGGTTAGATCTAACCTTCTACCCTAAATTATATTTTTGGGTCCTTTACACTCATTACGAAGAAGAAGTCTTGACAAAACATTTACGATGAAATCATGAAAATTCAAGAGGTGAGAAAACAGGTGAGAAAACAGGTGAGATCTCACCTCTTCACCTAAAATATATTTTTGTCTGATTTTACGAAGAAGTCTTGACAAAACATTTACGATGAAATCATGAAAATTCAAGAGGTGAGAAAACAGGTGAGAAAACAGGTGAGATCTCACCTCTTCACCTAAAATATATTTTTGTCTGATTTTACGAAGAAGTCTTGACAAAACATTTACGAAGAAGTCTTGACAAAACATGTACGATGAAATCTTGACAAAACATTTACGAAGAAGTCTTGACAAAACATTTACGATGAAATCTTGACAAAACATTTACGAAGAAGTCTTGACAAAACATTTACGAAGAAGTCTTGACAAAACATTTACGAAGAAGTCTTGACAAAACATTTACGAAGAAGTCTTGACAAAACATTTACGAAGAAGTCTTGACAAAACATTTACGAAGAAGTCTTGACAAAACATTTACGAAGAAGTCTTGACAAAACATTTACGAAGAAGTCTTGACAAAACATTTACGAAGAAGTCTTGACAAAACATTTACGATGAAGTCTTGACAAAACATGAAAACATATATAATTTGTGAAAAGTGAAACATTATATAATGTTTTCGACCCAGAAGACTAACAATTTTCCGAATAAAAACTTCATTTATTACTAAACATCATCAGGGCTAGAAGGCACGAAGTGCCTGGAAGCCCCACTACCTTTTTTTTTTTTTTTAAGGAATAAACACTTACATTTATTACATTTGGATTTTTTTTTTAAATTCAGTATTATTTTTAGAAATAAGATAATATAGTTCTAAATAAAACAAAGAATGTTAAGAAGGAAGAAGGAATTAGCGGATGCAGCCGAAGCACGCTCACAAATTACTCTCAATATCCACTCAAATCATACAAAGTTTTGTCGAATAGTTTGATATAAAGACAAAAAATTTACAATTTTTAATTAAATCCGAACAATCTTACATATGCAGCCGAAGCACACTCACAAATTACTCTCAATATCCACTCAAATCATACAAAGTTTTGTCGAATAGTTTGATATAAAGACAAAAAATTTACAATTTTTAATTAAATCCGAACAATCTTACATATGCAGCTGAAGCACACTCACAAATTACTCTCAATATCCACTCAAATCATACAAAGTTTTGTCGAATAGTTTGATATAAAGACAAAAAATTTACAATTTTTAATTAAATCCGAACAATCTTACATATGCAGCTGAAGCACACTCACAAATTACTCTCAATATCCACTCAAATCATACAAAGTTTTGTCGAATAGTTTGATATAAAGACAAAAAATTTACAATTTTTAATTAAATCCGAACAATCTTACATATGCAGCCGAAGCACACTCACAAATTACTCTCAATATCCACTCAAATCATACAAAGTTTTATATTTTCATTTTATTGTTTCTTAATAAAGAATTTACTTTAATATTCTTAATTGTTTTCTTTTTTATATTTAATTTTGATATCTATTTTAAAAAACTTATACAAATTCGAGTCAGCTAATAATTTAATTGAAAAAATAAAAAGAAAACATATAATTTTTAATCCGTCTAATTGAATAAGCAATATTATAAATATTATGTTAAACGGTTAATTTTTCTCAAAAAAATTATTTCGAATTTCCGAAATTTTTGACATTTTGGCTGAGAACTATGGTCTGCGAGGTACATAGATAGAATCAGTACCTCGCAGACTATAGTTCTCTATATGGAGCCGAAAATTTTTTGGTGAAATGCGACGACATTTCACCAAAAAATTTTCGGCGCCATAGGAAGAATTGGAGGGTGTGAGATACTATTACATGCTATAGTACTCACACCCTCCAACTCCCAATCAAAATCGCATAAAATTTGCTACTTATCTTCAGATTACCTCCCATTATAAAATATATCATTGCTATCTCATCGTACTATATTTTCACCCTATTGTATTTAAAAATATAAAAATTTTTGATAATATATTTTTATATCTTGAATTTTCAAACAATATATTCACAGATAATATAATGGGAAATCTATCTCAACCTAGCCTTAAAGTACCAAACTCCTGCTTGCATTCTCACTCACAAATATTAAACATCCATCTCCAAAAAACTAAATTCTTCACAATTTTTTTAAAATTGAGAACATAAAAAACGTATGCATTCAATAATTTAAGATACTAACAAATATTAAAAACTTCAAAATATCAGATAATAACGTTTTTCAATTAAAAAAATATCATTTTGCTTTTCAATTCGAACATAAATCTTAAATATTATCTCATACCGAAATGGCTCACCAAAAAGGTGACATTTTTGGCGCCAATAATTTGATTTTTCTGATTCTTTCTATTTAGATATATTTATTTAATATTCATATTCCTTTATATTGCCTCATATTATTTCCCATTTTTAATCATATTATACAAATCTTTAATAATTTTTAATGTTTTGAGCTTCAAAATCTTGTTCTAACTATTTTCATTCATATATCCTAGAAAAAATTAAAAAGTTTTTTAGAAATAAAAATGTTTGTATGTAAAGTATTGAAAATATTCTAGATGAGAAGACATTCTCCAGAAGAGATTGATATTGATTGGCTTTGTGAAGCCATCACAAAATCAATAATGGAGTTAAGTTAACTGATATTTGCGCGAAAGCTAAAATAAATCATGAAGGCAGAGTTATATATAATCATACTATCTTAAAGTATTCCTAGAAATTTCCAAAATTAACCGAAATATAACTGTACAGAATTACTATTTTCGAGATAAAATTCATATGGAAATACTAATTCATAACGCTTTATGTTATATAAAATTTAATTTATAAAAATTTCAAAATAAATCAAATTTAACACAATGAATATAACTGCAATCGAGGTTTTTGACGATTGATTCTTACGAGAAGTTTTCCAAACTTTGAGTTAATGTCAAGACATTAACTCAAAGTTTGGAAGTCTAATAAGGGGAATTGTAGGCTATGAGGTACTGATTATATATCAGTGCCTCATAGCCTGCAATTCCCATTAGAAATCGAAGAAACTTTGTCCGCATAACTTATGATGCGGACAAAGTTTCTCCCATTTCTACTTAGAATGAAAGGGCAAGAGATATATAGTGTACCTATATACCTCTTGCCCTTTCCTTCTTACCTAAAGACTTCCAATCTTATTTTTTTCCAATTTTTCCCCTAAATTTAAATCTTATATAATATAAATAAAATGCATAATATCAATCACAAAAATTCATGTTTATTTTTTTAATTAAAATTGCCGCGCAATTTAAGGTTTTCTGTCACTTTTTTGTTAGCCATTTCGGTACGAAACACATAAATCTTAAATATTTTTAATTAATATCTGATTTACAGCATTATTATCCATTTATAAATCTGACAAATAAATGACAAAACCATCAGAAATAGTATCACTTTTTGTCAAAAGTGAAGTCACGCTATTTTTCATGCACAACACAAGTTAGAAGTATTCCAGCAGGAAGAACAATATTATTGAAGAACTTTAATGTTTTGAGGTATAATGATGAAACAAAGAAGCAAGATAGTTTTCCTGTTGCTGTGTATGTGAACCTAGACACAGGAGATGACATGAAAGTTTTTAACACAAAGCTTCAAACGGTAGTGAGAGAACAACTTACTGCGGAAGGACATCCATTACCTTCAGAAGTTACCATAGCATATAATTTTGAAACAAACTCAATAGATTTTAAAGTCGTCTTTGCAAAGAAGTCAGGTTTTACATTTAATGAAGCAGATGTATATTCGAATGAAAACTTCAAAGCTATTGCATGGTTAGATAATGACGATTGCTTTAAGAAAATATTTAAATACAGTGACTCAACGATGTCAATAGATGACCTTCGTGGAATGTTACCATCGACGTTTACAGTAGAAGGTTCAGCAGGATTGCTTACAAGATTGTCAATTGGTGGCATTTGGTCTCGTGAAAACATTGTTATAAAATCCAGTATAAGTGAATTTGCTGAAGAATCTATATTATGTCTTTCAAACTATATGTATTCGCCGCCGAAGCATTATAGTATAACAAACTTTGTCAGTAAGTTTAACATAAGACTTGTCGAACCTTCTTCAATGAAAGATGTTGTGCTACCCAAAGACGGAAAGGATGGACTCATTATTGAGATGATTTTAATAGCATATTAAATGAGCTTGTTCTTGAAGGTCATTCATGATGAAATAACTGTTGTAGAAGATGTTAGCAATTGTTCAGACATTTTGAAGCGTATAGATGATATAAGAAAGAAGTTAGATAGACCGCAAAGCGGTGAGGGCGAAGCCCGTGAGAACGTTTATGTTTCATTGACTTTCTCCAGTAACGAGAACTTTTATGAGATAATATTGAAGAGAGATGATTTTAATATGGTGTAAATGGTAGCTTGGGCAGCTTTAGGCGCAATGGGAACAAAAGCATTAGCATTTGGAGCAACAGCACTTGGAGCTTATGACGCAGTAAATAAAATGAGTGGAGGAAGGGTTTCAAAGACATTAGATGCAAATAAAGGAAAGATTGGAGGCTGGGTTGCAAAGAAGTTAAGATTAAATAAAATAGGGCTCATAAATAAAGCATCCAATTTGGTTGCGACTGAGTCAGAAAATGCTTTAGGAAAGGACGATGAGTTTGCAAAACACGCAAAAGACTTTAATGACCAGATGAAAGGTGAAACAATGCATTTAAATAGAGTCGATGGAACTAAAGAAAATGTTTCTTCTCCACCAGTGGTTTATCCATACGGACCTTATGGAATGTATGGAAACCCTTATGAACGACCATTTGACCCATTGACTGGTGGAAGTAATTGGTATCATTATGAACGAAGAAGAAAGACAGTCAAGTTGGAGACAGACGTGAAGAAAGCAACTAAAAAGAAACCAAGGAAGAGAGTTATAAAGCAATGAATTCAACAGGGTGAAAAACCGGGTGAAAAAAGAGGTGAGATTTCACCACTTCACCTAAATTTATTTTTGTGCTATGTTTTCATACGTGTGGGAGTGGTGATATCATTAATTTTTAAGTTTATTTTTTATTTTATTTTTTATTTTATTTTTATATAAATGACGAAAACTATTGAGATAACAAACTACAACGGTCATGAGTTCAAGAATTTGTTCTTCGTTCCTCGTGAAAATACATTCTATCAGATACGAGGGAGAAAGGGTAAAGTTAGTTTGAGCGTTTATGAAGGAATGAAGAATGGAAAGTTTATACAAGCATACGATACAAATGGTAAACGTGTTTCATTAGCTTTGTCAAAACTTACTAACATTTATTTTGACAGTGACTTTGACTCTGACGATTGGAGCGACAGCAGCGATACTGAAGAATATGAACTATTGTGTGAAGCACAGCAATGGGAGGAGTTGCAATACTTTTGTAAGTGAGAACGTTTATTTTTTACAGTCGTGAAGTCGTTTGTGAAAACATTAGTGAGGTGAAGTGGTTGGCGGCTTTATAAATATTTAAGGTTAAGTTGGTGTTTGTGTTTGTGTTGTAAAATATACGTTAACGGTTTTGTAAAGTGTCAAATTCACATATAATGGGTAAGGAGGCGCGCAGTGCCTCAGTACACATTATATGTATACTAACTATGGCCATTGATGTTGTAATACAGTTCAAGTCGTCTGCCATCTCTTGAACAAGTTTTTTGAACTGCATTTCATCTGGTAGTGACAAAAGGGTCATACCACCCCCTGACTGACCTTTTGTCCATGAACGACAAGTAGCAGTGCGCATGATTGCGCGTGCTACTGTTGTCTTTGAAATTGAGTAAACATTCCGTATTTGTTGATAAGACTCGCCATTTACTCTTCGATAGAGTAAATCGAGTTGCATCTGGGTCAATAGCCCAAGATTTTTATAATTTACTAATTCTGCAAACTCGGGAATTCGTGTTCTTGGTTGCATTTTTTTTTAAACGGGAACTTCACAAATTTGGTTCATGGCCATAAAAACTCATTCAATTTTTCTGAGATTTTTTTCGTCACTCACTCAAAACGCAGAGGACCATTCTTCTCAAAATTGAATTATTTTCTCAAAGATTGAGTGAGTAAAATGGGCACGTTGTGTAAATTGATTCAAAATTTTTTATTGGTACACGACCTTTGAAATTGGTCTCGGGCTATTCAACCTACGGTAATATCAAATTTGACTATTTTTGAATAAATTTGAAATTCCGTTAGATTTCACCAGATTATGTCGAAAAATGGACTCCTTGTGAGAATAGTTGGTGATAGATCGACTAACCCAGGTCCAGCAGAGTTCAATACAAGGACAAAACCTGGTGATGACTCTCCACAATGGACAATTAAAAATAAATATCCAGAAAAAATCGAAGCAATTGATGTACCATATAGTGACATTGCATCTACAATTGGCGAAGGTCCAAAGATTTCGATGCACTCACGTCCACAAGAACGCGCCCTATCTGATTCACCAGGACCAAATTATATTCCTCCATCTTTAGGCTCAGATGCACCGAAAGTTTCAATGACATCTCGTCATGATAACACTAAATATAATGACAATCCAGGTCCAGGTGCATACGACATCAAAGATTCAAATAACGGTCCTGCATATACGTTAAAGGGAAGAACGGAAAGCCCAGATGCTAGTACAGCTTCACCAGGCCCTGCTGCATACAATCCTAACTACAATGCAACTATGAAGAACTCTCCTTCTCCAACTATGCACGGCCGTCCAACAGATCGTAACATCGAAGTAACTCCAGGTCCATCAGACTATGCTATTTCTCGTGATCTTGGCGGTCCACAAATTTCTATGCATATTAGACCTACTGAGAATCAAAAAGAAGGCGGCCCAGGTCCTGGCGCGTACAGTCCACAAGATCTTGATGGTCGTGGTCCAAGTTACACCATGAAAGGTCGTCATGATCTTCCACAAGATGTCAACACCGCACCTTATAGAGATCTTCCAACAACCATTGGCGAAGGTCCAAAGATTTCGATGCACTCACGTCCACAAGAACGCGCCCTATCTGATTCACCAGGACCAAATTATATTCCTCCATCTTTAGGCTCAGATGCACCGAAAGTTTCAATGACATCTCGTCATGATAACACTAAATATAATGACAATCCAGGTCCAGGTGCATACGACATCAAAGATTCAAATAACGGTCCTGCATATACGTTAAAGGGAAGAACGGAAAGCCCAGATGCTAGTACAGCTTCACCAGGCCCTGCTGCATACAATCCTAACTACAATGCAACTATGAAGAACTCTCCTTCTCCAACTATGCACGGCCGTCCAACAGATCGTAACATCGAAGTAACTCCAGGTCCATCAGACTATGCTATTTCTCGTGATCTTGGCGGTCCACAAATTTCTATGCATATTAGACCTACTGAGAATCAAAAAGAAGGCGGCCCAGGTCCTGGCGCGTACAGTCCACAAGATCTTGATGGTCGTGGTCCAAGTTACACCATGAAAGGTCGTCATGATCTTCCACAAGATGTCAACACCGCACCTTATAGAGATCTTCCAACAACCATTGGCGAAGGTCCAAAGATTTCGATGCACTCACGTCCACAAGAACGCGCCCTATCTGATTCACCAGGACCAAATTATATTCCTCCATCTTTAGGCTCAGATGCACCGAAAGTTTCAATGACATCTCGTCATGATAACACTAAATATAATGACAATCCAGGTCCAGGTGCATACGACATCAAAGATTCAAATAACGGTCCTGCATATACGTTAAAGGGAAGAACGGAAAGCCCAGATGCTAGTACAGCTTCACCAGGCCCTGCTGCATACAATCCTAACTACAATGCAACTATGAAGAATTCTCCTTCTCCAACTATGCACGGCCGTCCAACAGATCGTAACATCGAAGTAACTCCAGGTCCATCAGACTATGCTATTTCTCGTGATCTTGGCGGTCCACAAATTTCTATGCATATTAGACCTACTGAGAATCAAAAAGAAGGCGGCCCAGGTCCTGGCGCGTACAGTCCACAAGATCTTGATGGTCGTGGTCCAAGTTACACCATGAAAGGTCGTCATGATCTTCCACAAGATGTCAACACCGCACCTTATAGAGATCTTCCAACAACCATTGGCGAAGGTCCAAAGATTTCGATGCACTCACGTCCACAAGAACGCGCCCTATCTGATTCACCAGGACCAAATTATATTCCTCCATCTTTAGGCTCAGATGCACCGAAAGTTTCAATGACATCTCGTCATGATAACACTAAATATAATGACAATCCAGGTCCAGGTGCATACGACATCAAAGATTCAAATAACGGTCCTGCATATACGTTAAAGGGAAGAACGGAAAGCCCAGATGCTAGTACAGCTTCACCAGGCCCTGCTGCATACAATCCTAACTACAATGCAACTATGAAGAACTCTCCTTCTCCAACTATGCACGGCCGTCCAACAGATCGTAACATCGAAGTAACTCCAGGTCCATCAGACTATGCTATTTCTCGTGATCTTGGCGGTCCACAAATTTCTATGCATATTAGACCTACTGAGAATCAAAAAGAAGGCGGCCCAGGTCCTGGCGCGTACAGTCCACAAGATCTTGATGGTCGTGGTCCAAGTTACACCATGAAAGGTCGTCATGATCTTCCACAAGATGTCAACACCGCACCTTATAGAGATCTTCCAACAACCATTGGCGAAGGTCCAAAGATTTCGATGCACTCACGTCCACAAGAACGCGCCCTATCTGATTCACCAGGACCAAATTATATTCCTCCATCTTTAGGCTCAGATGCACCGAAAGTTTCAATGACATCTCGTCATGATAACACTAAATATAATGACAATCCAGGTCCAGGTGCATACGACATCAAAGATTCAAATAACGGTCCTGCATATACGTTAAAGGGAAGAACGGAAAGCCCAGATGCTAGTACAGCTTCACCAGGCCCTGCTGCATACAATCCTAACTACAATGCAACTATGAAGAATTCTCCTTCTCCAACTATGCACGGCCGTCCAACAGATCGTAACATCGAAGTAACTCCAGGTCCATCAGACTATGCTATTTCTCGTGATCTTGGCGGTCCACAAATTTCTATGCATATTAGACCTACTGAGAATCAAAAAGAAGGCGGCCCAGGTCCTGGCGCGTACAGTCCACAAGATCTTGATGGTCGTGGTCCAAGTTACACCATGAAAGGTCGTCATGATCTTCCACAAGATGTCAACACCGCACCTTATAGAGATCTTCCAACAACCATTGGCGAAGGTCCAAAGATTTCGATGCACTCACGTCCACAAGAACGCGCCCTATCTGATTCACCAGGACCAAATTATATTCCTCCATCTTTAGGCTCAGATGCACCGAAAGTTTCAATGACATCTCGTCATGATAACACTAAATATAATGACAATCCAGGTCCAGGTGCATACGACATCAAAGATTCAAATAACGGTCCTGCATATACGTTAAAGGGAAGAACGGAAAGCCCAGATGCTAGTACAGCTTCACCAGGCCCTGCTGCATACAATCCTAACTACAATGCAACTATGAAGAACTCTCCTTCTCCAACTATGCACGGCCGTCCAACAGATCGTAACATCGAAGTAACTCCAGGTCCATCAGACTATGCTATTTCTCGTGATCTTGGCGGTCCACAAATTTCTATGCATATTAGACCTACTGAGAATCAAAAAGAAGGCGGCCCAGGTCCTGGCGCGTACAGTCCACAAGATCTTGATGGTCGTGGTCCAAGTTACACCATGAAAGGTCGTCATGATCTTCCACAAGATGTCAACACCGCACCTTATAGAGATCTTCCAACAACCATTGGCGAAGGTCCAAAGATTTCGATGCACTCACGTCCACAAGAACGCGCCCTATCTGATTCACCAGGACCAAATTATATTCCTCCATCTTTAGGCTCAGATGCACCGAAAGTTTCAATGACATCTCGTCATGATAACACTAAATATAATGACAATCCAGGTCCAGGTGCATACGACATCAAAGATTCAAATAACGGTCCTGCATATACGTTAAAGGGAAGAACGGAAAGCCCAGATGCTAGTACAGCTTCACCAGGCCCTGCTGCATACAATCCTAACTACAATGCAACTATGAAGAACTCTCCTTCTCCAACTATGCACGGCCGTCCAACAGATCGTAACATCGAAGTAACTCCAGGTCCATCAGACTATGCTATTTCTCGTGATCTTGGCGGTCCACAAATTTCTATGCATATTAGACCTACTGAGAATCAAAAAGAAGGCGGCCCAGGTCCTGGCGCGTACAGTCCACAAGATCTTGATGGTCGTGGTCCAAGTTACACCATGAAAGGTCGTCATGATCTTCCACAAGATGTCAACACCGCACCTTATAGAGATCTTCCAACAACCATTGGCGAAGGTCCAAAGATTTCGATGCACTCACGTCCACAAGAACGCGCCCTATCTGATTCACCAGGACCAAATTATATTCCTCCATCTTTAGGCTCAGATGCACCGAAAGTTTCAATGACATCTCGTCATGATAACACTAAATATAATGACAATCCAGGTCCAGGTGCATACGACATCAAAGATTCAAATAACGGTCCTCGCTACACAATGAAAGGAAGACCGAGATCAGGCGGGGCAGAGACCGCATCTCCAGGCCCAGCTGCATATTCACCAGATTACAATGCTGTCCGCAAGAATTCGCAAGGCCCAACAATGCACATTCGACCTAAAGACCGAAGCATCGAAGCATCTCCAGGTCCTGCAGATTATGAAGTTTCAAGAAATCTTGGTGGCCGTTCTGCTTCCATCCATGTTCGTCCTAAATCCGGCGGCGCCAACACTGATTCACCTGGCCCAGGTGCATATAATCCAAAGGACAATCGTCGTGGTCCAAGCTACACAATGAAAGGAAGACATGAACAGCGCCAAGATGTTAACAACGCTCCATACAGAGATCTTGGAACAACAGTTGGTAGTGGACCGAAGATTTCAATGCACTCACGTCCACAGGAACGTCCATTATCCGATTCCCCAGGTCCATCATACATTCCACCAGCCATTGGTGCAGATGCTCCTAAAGTTTCAATGACATCACGTCGTGACTCAGTCAGAAGAAATGATAACCCAGGTCCAGGAGCCTATAATATCAAAGACAACAACCGTGGTCCAAGTTACACAATGAAAGGAAGACCGAGATCAGGCGGGGCAGAGACCGCATCTCCAGGCCCAGCTGCATATTCACCAGATTACAATGCTGTCCGCAAGAATTCGCAAGGCCCAACAATGCACATTCGACCTAAAGACCGAAGCATCGAAGCATCTCCAGGTCCTGCAGATTATGAAGTTTCAAGAAATCTCGGTGGCCCATCAGCTTCATTTCACAGCAGACCAAGATCTGGTGGAGCAAACACTGATTCACCTGGCCCAGGTGCATATAATCCAAAGGACAATCGTCGTGGTCCAAGCTACACAATGAAAGGAAGACATGAACAGCGCCAAGATGTTAACAACGCTCCATACAGAGATCTTGGAACAACAGTTGGTAGTGGACCGAAGATTTCAATGCACTCACGTCCACAGGAACGTCCATTATCCGATTCCCCAGGTCCATCATACATTCCACCAGCCATTGGTGCAGATGCTCCTAAAGTTTCAATGACATCACGTCGTGACTCAGTCAGAAGAAATGATAACCCAGGTCCAGGAGCGTATGATGTTAGAAGTCCGAAAGAAGGACCAAGTTACACAATGAAGAGCAGACCAAGGTCTGGAGGTGCTGAGAGAGCTTCTCCAGGTCCTGCTGCTTATTCTCCTGACTATTATGCTATCAAGAAATCTCCAAGAAACATTACAATTAAAAACAGATACCCAGAAAGAGCTCCAGATCAAGGTCCTGGATATTACAACATCGGAAATACTCTTGGAGGTCCAAGATTTACAATTGGAAACAGAGAAACTCTCGATATTGTATTGATATAATCATCTTATTTTTATATTATTATTCATTATTAGTTTGTTTCTATTAAATCACTATCCGGAAATTAAATTATTTTTAATGAGAGATTTAAACCCAATAAGAAAGAAGTATTTACTATGCAAAACCCTTCCTCCTATAATTATGATAGAAAAAATTATTTTTTACGGTCAATTGCATGGTTCCAGTAATAATAACAATTTATGTCATAAAAAAGTATTGATTTCACGCATATGCAAACATGATTAATCTTAAAAATATATTAAACGTGTCAGAAATTTGAATTAAAGTCAGATGTTGGCGGTTTTGTACCATTAAGTGAAATTTCCACTTTTTGAGTTCCTCTCATCAAATCAATAATTTTCATACAAACAGGATTAATCTTATTGTAATATTGATTAGTTATAGAAATATATTAAATTTTCAAATTTGACAGATAAAAATGATGTGAAAAAATTTTTGACTCAAAAAGATAAACTTTATGAGAATAGTTAAAATTAGTAAATGTCCATATGTTATATTAAATACTATAATAATGTATATTTATTATTAAATCTTTGTGATGTGATATTTCAACAATCTTTTAGACAAAATTTTGAATTAATCATTTTTGATAATGAGCGAATATCATTATCGCGCAGACGGAGGCTTTGATATGAGGTACTCTTCATCAAAAGCTGCATGCTCTATGGGACTTTGCAACAGTAGAGGCTTTTCTAATTCTTCTTATTCATATTCATGCTCACCATCAATCTCGAGTTCATCATCAAGCGGATATCATTATCGTCAAGATGGCGGTCTTGATATGAGATATTCCTCATCTAAGACTGCATGTGCAAGCGGACTTTGTGATAACAAGGGAAATATGTATTCTTCATCAAATTCGAAATCAGAATCATCTACAAACGTTAAGAGTGAAACAAAACCAGTTGAAGTCAAATCCGAAAAGAATCCATCCGTAGGCCAAAAGTCACCAAAGGAGATTGAACGTTCAGATCTTGGTCGCACAAAGTATGGATCAAAAGAAGATGGAACAAATGCAAGTCATATTATGTCTTTCCGTGTAATTAACGCCATTCTCAGCACACAGCCTGGACGCCCAATGTCTGACGAAAACAAGAAGAATATCGTCAGAGAACTCAATGATAAGGAAAACTTGCGCAACAAGAGTCGTGCAGGCAACATGTATGGTAATAATGGTTATTCTGGTGATGAATACTTCGATCAGCAGATCGAAGATGTAATTAGAGGAAATAAAGATCGTTTAACGAATCAACATTGTGTTGATCGCCTCCAAAGACAATGGGCACGCGTCCAACAGTCTAACATACCAACAAACGTAAAGGAAGCAATCAGGGAAAGCTTTTCAAAGATCCATGATCAAGATGGACATGTCATCATTCGTTCAAATGCTCCTTTAAATTGATTTTGTAATGCTTTAATAAAAATTTATATATATATTTGATAATTGAATTCTTTCTTTTTGTTATTGTTTATTGAATTTCATCAAGCACACAGACATTATTAATGGTTCTATTTAATTGTAAATTTTGTTCTACAACAATGCATTTGAAGGTCAAAAAGTATATGAATTGCCTAGTACACCATACTCACACTAAAATTTAATATCCTTTATATTTGTAGTTCACTATGATTCTTGATTCTATTATCATGATAAGTTGTGAACAACTTTATTAAAACAAGAAATGAGTTGACAACTTTATTAAAACAAGAAAGGAGTTGACAACTTTATTAAAACAAGAAAAGAGTTGACAGCTTTATTAAAACAAGAAAAGAGTTGACAACTTTATTAAAACAAGAAAAGAGTTGACAGCTTTATTAAAACAAGAAAGAAGTTGACAACTTTATTAAAACAAGAAAGGAGTTTTCAACTTTATTAAAACAAGAAAAGAGTTGTCAACTTTATTAAAACAAGAAAGAAGTTGACAACTTTATTAAAACATGAAAGAAGTTGTCAACTTTATTAAAACAAGAAAGGAGTTGACAACTTTATTAAAACAAGAAATGAGTTGACAACTTTATTAAAACAAGAAAGGAGTTTTCAACTTTATTAAAACAAGAAAAGAGTTGTCAACTTTATTAAAACAAGAAAGAAGTTGACAACTTTATTAAAACATGAAAGAAGTTGTCAACTTTATTAAAACAAGAAATGAGTTGACAACTTTATTTACAAACTCTCAAGTAATTAGAAAGGAGTTGAGAACAAATAAGAAAACATATCAAAAAAATTTTTACATTATTTAAGAAAGCTCTAATATATATAATATAGTTTTTATTTAGTATGAAAAGTGCCAATTTTTCTCATTATTTTGTTGAGTTCGTTTTCTAGATCCGAAACAGATTTCTTGGGGCAGTCTATTGAGTCACAAGTTCTGTTTAGTGATGACAAATCACTTCTCAGCATCTCTATATTCTTCTTCATCAAGTTTGCCATTCCTTTCTTGCTAGAAAGTTCTTTTTGTGCGGCATTTATTTGCAAAGAAACTTTTTCTTTTTCTTTTTTGATGTTTTCAACTTCATCAATGGAAACTTGTACTTCTCCTGACTCATCAATCTGTCTCCTCAGTGCCTTCGTCTTCTGCCTGATCTGTGCAATCTCTTTTTCGATGTCTTTGTCGTTCCTCGTAAGTAATTGGTCAACAGATGAGAGAATTGAGTGGAAATCAACTCTTTCTGGACTAATAATTGATTCTGTTACCTCTTGTGGTCTTAGTAATACAGGATCCATCATGAATTCTTGGTTGTTGATGCTGGAAATCACGTCATTAAGGTGTTTTTGTTTTTCAAAAAGTGACAAACTCGGTTCAAACTCCAAAATTTCGTCAATTTCTGTTGGTTGTTGGAGAGGAGGATGCAGGGAGTCTTTAGAAAACCTTTTAGCAAAGGAAGGAGGAAGTTTTTCATGGATAAGATCAATAACTTCTTCAATTTCTGAATTATCAATTTCAGGAAGCTCAATTTTGGGAGAAACAGTGGTTTCGTGGGCTGTTTCTTGTTGTTCATGCATTTGTTGGTCAGGAACTTCAATATCTGTGTTACTTTCCGTTAAAATAAATTTTGTAATTTTTGAATTCAGTTCGCTTAAGTCTTTGCTTCTTATTTCGGTTCTTACGATATCAGGATTAAAATCTGGAATATCAGTATTGAGGTTTAATGACTCTTCGGCACGAGAAATCGAATCTTCGTAAAAAGATACAGTTGGAAGCTGCGAAATCGCGTTTTCCGTCATTTCTACGAAATCCTTTGTGAATATTTCAAGTGGATTGATACTGTCTTGGTCAGAATTCTCAGAAAAATCAATAGAAAGAGGTTGAATTTCGATTTTTCCGGCTTCTCCTGCATCTTCGATTTTCTGTTCAAGCTGCTTGAAGGATTTGGAGATATCCTTGGTATTGGAAGCAGTTTCGGCACAATGATGTAAGAAATTTTTCTGATCTTTGTAAATATTCTTGATTAAGTTTGAAACTCTGCTATTTGATTGTATTTGGGCCTGTATTTGAGAAATAAAACTATCTGTCCTTTGGTGTATTGATTGGTCGATTGTAGCATGGTTTTCGTGATAATTCGGATTTTCATCGAAATTAGGGTATGATTTTAAGTTTATTAGTTGGGATAATTCTTGTTCGTTTGGATCATTTGTAAATTGGTCGATAATAGCTTCAAGTTGATCATTTTTGGCTTTTTCATCAAATAAAGTTCTGTAAAGTGACAATTCTGATTCCAAACGTTGTCTTTCGTTAACTAAATCAATTGTATCGGACTTCAGTTTGTCAAAATCGATAATTTCATATTCATCTGCAATTAAATCAAAAGTTTGTTTAACAGCATCTTGAATTTGGGCAATTTGTGCTTCGTTAAGAGTTTGTGTCTCTATCCCGGCACTTTCTTTTATTCGTTTCTGCATTTTTTCTAATAATTTTTCTAATGCAAAATTTTGTTGTTTTAACGATTGATTTTTTCCTAGTAATTCTGAATATTCATTGTATGTACTTTCCGTTGTTTCGAAAATTAGATTCTTTTTGTCAGTTAAATCCTTGTATGTCGTTTCTTTTGATGAAATTTTGTTTTTGTAACTAGATAATTCGTTAATTTTCATTTGCATCTCTCTTTCATTCTTTTGTATTTCTGTTTTCATTTGCCGGACGCTCTGATTCATAAAATGTCCAAACATTTTTTTGCTTCGAAGAGATTGTCACTTTTTTGGATTTACTTATGACAAATTACATGACAAATTAGGGTTATTTCTCTTTATTATCCCCTGCTTTTCTAATTCATCAAAAAAATGTTTTTTGTTCTTTTTTGTCAATTAGCCTTTCAAGTTGCCAATGTCATAACATTAACACCTGATAATTGGCAGCAGCTTGTAGATAAAAGAGATCCAGAAAGTGTTTGGCTGATTTTTTTCAGAACTAATGGGCATATGGGATCAAAATCAATATTTCCAATATTTGAAAATGCTTCACGTATAGCTGATGGACTATTTAACTTTGGTCTTGTAACAGATGATCCGGATTTCCCTGTTTTAATGCGATATAAAGTTGAAACCGTTCCAACAATCATAATTCTACACAAAACAGGTTACAAGAAATATAAAGGAAAGTATACTGAGAACGATTTACTTAAAGCTGCAGCAAAATTCTTGAAAGATCACACAAAGAAAGCAACCCTTGAATGGATTAACGAACCTCAGGATACAGCAATCTTGTTTACCGATAAATCGTTCATTCCAAGTCTTTGGGTTGGAATTTCTTCTGATTTCAGAAATAAATTACGAATTGGAGTCACAAACTCAACAGAAGTAATGAGAGCTTACGGAGTTACAAAACTACCATCAATTATAATGATGAATTCATCATACAGAACTTTCTACAAAGGAAGGATTTCATTTGGTGCGATTTCTCAGACTTTGACAGATTTCATTCAAGATTCATACGAAGAACCATACGTTTACGATCCTGACTACTTATTCCCCGATGAATATCAAAAGCAAACAGCTAATTTTACAGGCTATATCGCTTTTGCAGTTACAGACGAATTGGAAGCAGATTTCCAGAGAACGAAAGATACAAGAACTCCAAGAAGGTTTAAATTCTTCTACGGAACAGAAAATCTTCCTTATAAATTTATGACGCCAGGAACTTATTGGATTTTGCAGCCAAGCAAAAATAGGATTGCAAAATGCAATAGTGCTAAGGAAATCTTCGATTTTTGCGCTAAAATTGTTGATGGAGAAATGAAATGGCAAGATCTTAATTCTTATTTATAAACTGTTCGTATTATCTTTTCAAATATTGTTTTTATTATTAATTCACTACGATTTGATAAAAAATGATTAGATATTTAGTATCATATATTAAATGTACATCAAATTTGTAAATTGAAATAAAAGATAAATAAAACTCTTGCGTGTTATTATGTTTACAATGTGAAAATAGAAAATAATGAAAGTGTTATCCAATAATCTTTATTATCTAAGGGAATTCAGTAGAAAATATGCCATTGCTTGATATCATTTTGAGACCTATTTATAGTGAAGCAAAAATACTTATATATTAAATCGATAATTCGTTCTCAATTCCAAAAATATCATGCAATTACATATAAGTATTAGAATCTGACGTTCGCTTTAGAATATGATGATTACAATATTGATATAGATGGATAATTCGATAACTTGAACGTTTTCTCCAAATGAATTTGTCATATTGTTTTCGAACCGAACTTTTTTGATAGTTTTATTCAATGATATGTAATATTTACTAGAGATAATCTGATATTGCTTGTATTGTTTTTTAGCCTTTCTCAATTTTTCAATCCAAAAAAGATAAAATCGCGTTTATATGTCCTACATATAATAATATGCATATATCCAACAGAATTTGGTTTAAGGGTGCACACGAGAGGATCATGTAAACTTCAGAATTTAGAACCTTATTTTTAGGCATTATCTTGGCTACTTATTTAGGCTCGAAAAGCAAAAAATATCAAAAAATACAACTTGACTCCATTATGACCCTTTCATGGAGGTAGTTTTTATCCGCTAGTATTTTCCCTTTGAATCTCTTTACAATTCGAAATCAAATTCAAACCTCAGTAGAAGAAAGGAAGAATCGACTTACTACGGTTGTAATACGAATAAATACATATATTTAATTATTTTTCTTTACATAATAATTGTTTGAAGCTCATATTCCATCAAATTTTTAAATAAAAACATTAAAATGTTGAAAATGTTCATATATTTTAATAGGGTTTTGGCACTTTATTGAGGAATTACTACATACATAGTCGAACTGAACTTGATATTTTGAAATTTAAATTATTTATCAAAATTAAAATTTAACTTGAAATTTATAATTATTTAGTCATATTTTGCATAATTCTAAGTAGATTTTGTAAAAAATCAAGAAAGAAAAATTTTAACGTGCTTTATTTTTTTCTTTTTTATAATAATACATATTATTATATAATTAACATATTCATAATGTTTCACCCTTTCAAAAATATAATCCTCCTCCTCTCAAATAAACGTACATACGGGTGGCCTCTTTTTTCAAAAAATTAAAATTTGAAATTTTGGGCTCAAATATTAGAGATTTTTTCAACCTTCAACGATATATGTTGTCTATATCAGACCTCCTTTCTTTTTGATACTTAACATTGTTCCTAATCTTAGCCGTTAAAGGCTGTTCTGAAATAATTATTTTTTTTCGAAAAAATTCGAAAAAAATTCTTAAAATTCAAAAATCCCTTAATTCCTGAGGATTTTGGAAAAAAGTTTTTACATGAACATGTGTATATTATATGAAGTATATTGATAAGGTAAAAATCAAATTTTATTGCATATTCATCGAGAAAATAAACTAACGAATCCCTCAAAATTGAGAGGGTAATCCTCCTCCTCTCAAATAAACGTACATACGGGTGCACCCTTAAAGTGGCCACAATTTTTTGAATGATCACAAATGATTCAAAGATGCTGTATAGTCGAAAGGGTTGTCAATGTCTGGCAGGAACATTTAGTCCTGACTGTCAAATTTATGATGATGAAATTCAAATACTCCGTTTCATTAATATAATGGTTTTATCCATTTTTATAATTTTTAAACGATGAGAACCCTCTCAATTTGTGTGGACTCAATTTTATTTATTTTTTTTTTCTTCGAAAAAAAAAATTCAAGAAGTAGATATTGAAAAGATGACTAGCGATCGAGCTGTGTCGAGTATGAATCTTTTTGACCCATTAGTTGATACTTCATCTAAAATCCCAGACGTAAGTCAGGGCTTTATCCCTACATTCATGACCACCCTGAGTGTTATCACTGGTGTCGAAGTTTTAAGTATAGCAAATTCAATGATATTTACAGGATTCGTCGTTAGCATGTTTTTAATGTTCTTTACAACGGCACTTTCCTATATTTGCACTGTAATTACATTAAATCTCGCCAAACGATATACTTCTGAAAGTATCAATGACCTTGCAACAAAGATTATCGGTAGATGGTTCGGAGATGTCTGTTCCATTTTGGGTTTATGCTTCACTTATAGCTGTTTGACTTCTTACATCTTTTTAGGCTCAGAAACTGTGTTTAACTGGCTAGAACTTGCAGGTCTTAAAAACATCCAAACAGGCTATAAGAGGGTCTTAATAATTCTTGGATATTCCATATTAATTCCAGTATTAACAACAATTCCAAGACAAACTAAACTTCTTGGTTATATCTCAAGTTTTGCTCTCATCATACAGATTATATACTTTTGCAGTATCATTTACGAAGCAATTATTCACTTTCCAAACGGAATTGATCCAACAGTCGAAACATACGTTTTTAATATCAATATTTTCAACGCGTTCGCAATCTATTCACTTTTATTCTCGCTTCCAGCCGTTATTCTTCCAATTGTAAGATCTTATACGCCTGTTATGAAGTCAAGATATCAGGTTATCGGTCTTGCAGTTTTTGTTAGCTACATTGTCGTTGCTGTTCCAGGTGCTATTGTTTACTTGATTTTTGGAGCGAAAACAGATCAAATTGCAATTTCTTCTTTTGATGGCAAAGATGTTGTAATGCAAATAGTCAGAGCATGCTTCTTCATTGTTGTTAACGCCTCTTACGCTGCTATTTCTCAAAATGTCATTCAGGATGTTACATCTTTAATTTATCATGTCGAAAGCCCAGGAGCATTACCAGGCCTCAAGAGATTAATTGTTCTCCTCTGTACAAATATACCCCCGATTTCAATTGCTATACTTCTTCCAGAGATTCGACCAATGTTCGAAATTGGTGGCGCTTTTGGAGGATGTTTGGCCAATTTCTTTATCCCATCAATCCTTGCTTTCTTTGCCCTTCCAAAGAAACTCTCTTATGCAGGAGCCGGTTATATGTTCCTGGCTTTATTCGGTATATTGTGTTGCGCTATTGCTACATACGAAGCTGTTGTCGATGCTTTGCATCCTGGATCATAATTATATAGATATTCATGTTATTTTAATGTTATAAAATATAAATCGTCTTTTTTTCACTTTCTACATAAAGGATTATTTTTATTTCGAAATGTACAACTTACCGATTGTCTCTAAGTGCTTACAATATAAACACAGAATTTTTTTATTTTGATTTTACAAAATTTGGCACTTTTTTCCAACGACGGATCTTTTTGTTGAAGTCCTCGGGGTAGGTAATATAACATACCCCAAAAACAACAATGATTCTGTCTATTATATACAAGCTGCAGTACTTTCTTCCCAAAGTATTCAAAAAACACCCGAATTTAATAAAAATAACGAATCAGCTGTACGTATTCGTCTTAAATTCACATCGAAAAGAGCAGATTCTGACTATCTCATGATGGAATTATTCGAAAAAACGAAAGATTCTACAAAATCTTTAGGAGATATCTGTTTAGATATTACTGATGCATTTTCAGGTTTTCCAATGAATCAGTGGTTTGATTTAGAAACTAAAACAGATGAATATGGATCTCCAAAGATTCATGCAGAGATTGAAATTGCAGAAAATGACGAAGAGGAAGAAGAATATGTTGAAGAAGATACTACAGAATTTGATACACTCGGAAGAGGTTCTATTTCTCATGATTCATCAAGTGATTCAATAAATGAAATTCGTAACTCACGTTTAGAAAGCGGTGATTCGTTCCCTATAATTGAAAACCCTAACAACCAATCAATCGTTACAGGAAATATTAAAATTGCTGATAATCATGAAGATGAATATGAATACCAATATTATTACGTTGAAGAAGAGGATGTAACAGAAGAATCTTCCAGTATTAAACGCATACGCAGACAAACAGATAGTTTAATTGCAAATACATCATATGATTCAAGACAAGAATTTAAGATTACAAGAACAAGAAGGTCAGACTCAGATAAGAACAAAGAACAGAAGAGCAAATACTATACGACCATTTATCGTATGAAACGTGATAAGTCACACGATGTTGTAAGTAAAATTCCTCTTTCTGTCAGCAAATTTGATCCAAAATTCCCTGTTGACACTTCCATCTTTGCCAGTTACAAGATTCATCGTGATGAGAGGCAAGAAGAAAACTTGACCGACCAAGATTTAAAGAAAATGTTCGAACAGATATATATCAATGACTTACAGCCAACAACAATCAACATTGAAGATTACAACCCAGATGAAGATTCTCAAAACAAAACTCTCATTGTTAGGACTTCAATTGAGAAAGAAGAACAAGAAAAAATCGAACGCGAAAGAAAGGAAAAAGAAGAAAAAGAAAGAAAACAAAAGGAGGAAAATGAAAAGGCAGAAAAAGAAAGGAAAGAACGCGAAGCCAAAGAAAAGCAAGAGAAAGAAGAGAAGGAACGAATTGAGCGAGAAAGGAAGGAAAAAGAAGAAAGAGAAAAGGTCGAAAAAGAGAAGAAAGAAAAAGAAGAACGTGAAAGAAAACAAAAGGAAGAAAAAGAGAAGAAAGAAAAAGAAGAACGTGAAAGAAAAGAAAAAGAAGAGAAGGAACGAAAACAAAAGGAAGAAAAAGAGAAGAAAGAAAAAGAAGAACGTGAAAGAAAACAAAAGGAAGAAAAAGAGAAGAAAGAAAAAAAAGAACGTGAAAGAAAAGAAAAAGAAGAAAAAGAAAAGAAAGAAAGGGAAGAAAAAGAAAAGACCGAAAAGGAGAAGAAGGAAAGGGAAGAAAAGGAAAGAATTGAGCGAGAGAGAAAGGAGAAGGAGCGAAAAGAAAAAGAAGAAAAAGAGAAGAGAGAAAAAGAAGAGCGTGAAAGAAAAGAAAGAGAAGAAATGGAGAGAAAACTGAAGGAAGAAAAAGAAAAGGCCGAAAAGGAGAAGAAGGAGAGAGAGGAACAAGAAAGGAAAGAGAAAGAAAGGATTGAAAAAGAGAGAAGAGAAAAAGAACAGAAAGATAAAGAAGAGAAGGAGAGAAAAGAAAAAGAAGAACGCGAGGCTAAAGAAAAAGCTGAAAAAGAACAAAAAGAAAGAGAAAGATTAGAACGTGAAGCCAAAGAAAAGCGTGAGAAAGAAGAGAAAGAGAAAATTGAACGAGAAAGAAAAGAAAAAGAAGAGCGAGAAGCAAGAGAAAAAGCCGAAAAAGAAAAGAGAGAACGTGAAGAAAAGGCGGAACGAGAAAGAAAGGAAAAAGAACAAAAAGAGAAAGAAGAGCGTGAAAAAGCTGAGAAACAAAGAATAGAGCGCGAACAAAAAGAAAAAGAAGCACGTGAAGCCAAAGAAAGGGCAGAAAAAGAAGAACGTGAAAGAAAAGAGAAAGAGCAGAAAGAGAAAGAAAGAATTGAACGCGAGAGAAAAGAAAAAGAAGCTCGTGAAGCAAAGGAGAAAGAAGAAAAAGAAAAGGCAGAGAGGGAAATAAAAGAAAAAGAAGAACGCGAAAGAAAACAAAAGGAAGAAAAAGAGAGGCTAGAGAGAGAAAAGAAAGAACGCGAAGAGAAAGAGAAGATTGAATTAGAAGCTCGCAAAAAAGCTGAACGCGAACAAAAAGAAAGAGAAGAAAAAGAGAAAAGAGAACTCGAAGAAAAGGCACAAAAAGAGAAAGAAGAGCGAGAGCGTATTGAGAGAGAAGAAAAAGAAAAAGCAGAGCAGCAAAGAATAGAGCGCGAAAGAAAAGAAAAAGAACGAATTGAGCAAGAACTCAAAGAAAAAGAAAGACAAGAAAAAGAGAAGAAAGAGCAAGAAGAACGTGAAATTATCGAGAAATTTATGAAAGAAGGTCGTGAAAAAGCAGAAAAAGAAAGACAATCATTAGAAAAATCCGTAAGAAGGAAAGAACAAGAAAGAATTGAAGTTGTAAAAGTTTCCAAAGAAAAGAAATCAAAAACATCAAGAAATATCCAAGTTGAAACAAAAGAAGAACTTCAAAATTCTGCAGAAAATCATCATGAAATGTTACAATTCCAAATCAATACTGACTCAATTTCCGAAATTGAAATGGAAAATCAAAAAGAAGAAAGTGAAAAAGTTGCAAGAATATTAATGGAAATTGAAGAAATAGAGTCATCAACAGAGAGTTCAGCCGCTATGAAAGAGCACAGAATGTCATTGAAAGATATTTCCATGATACCTCAAAGCAAACAAACATCTTCTTCTTCATCAGATCTCAAATCAAAAGAAGTTAAAATTGCTAAAAATGTTTCTTCATCTTCAACAACAAAAGAAAAGAAACAAAAGTCTGTTTCAATAAGATTATCATCCAGAACGAAATCAACAATAAATGTTTCAAAGCAAGTACATCATACATCAACTACAACCATTTCTTCTCACACAGCTCCTTCATCAAGAAATCTTAGTAATGAATTAACTGAAGAAAAAGAAAATTCACCAAAGAAAGAAACTAATTCCGAAAAGAAGGAATCTCCAGTGAAGAAAGAAGATACAGGAAAATCTGAAAGTGATAAAATCGAAGCAATTGCAAGATATAGATATATTTTGCAGAGAAATGCTGATTTGATCAAACAAGTTGAACAATCGAAGACTCCTAATCCAATATTAAGGTTAAGAATGAAAGCTTCTATTGAAGAAATTGATTCAATAATGGAGGAGCTTTCCAAATAATTTTGTATTTTATTATTTATAAATTATTTGTTTTTATTTATCAAAAATATCATAAATTTGTTTTATATATTTAGTGTGTTAGGAAGATACTTAAGAAGAACTAAGCCAAATCATTTTCTCAATTCAGGTCATTTAAGCTTACAATTCAAGCATTACTATCACTGGTTTGTTAAATTAAATAATGCTATTTCCGGTGTCTATTCCCTATGAATTAGATAGTGCTTAGATTTCTAATGATATTCATAGAGCTCCATTGCACATCTTTCTGGGATTTGATAGCAAGTAAAGATATTAGTATGTATGCTTTCATGCTCATTATTATGCTATATTTACATCAAGAGTTGGTTCCTTGATATCTTTGTCACTTTTATTAGAAAATGGATGATTTAGATATCAAGGCACCAATGCTTGATGTTGAGCAAAAAGCACAAGTTGAATCAGATCAAAATACTGTTGTTAGTGGAGATACTGAAAATCCGGCATCAGATGTACTTCCTGAAGAAACAAAATATAAAAAAATACGTCTTTTCGGATGCTGTCCTGCTGTTCGTTTACTTCCAACTACTAGAGTATTTTGCAAGTATTGGGAAGTAGACATCTGCATGCCATTTGTTGTGGTATTATTAATCACTTTCAATGTTTGTATTTTTTCATTTATTTTATTGCCAAAGATGAAAACAGCAGCTTTAATTATCAACGCCATTATAGTTTATGGATTTCTTATACTTTATATGACCTCATATTTCATGGCCATGTGCTCAGACCCTGGCTATCTACCATATGACTGGATTCAAACAAAAAAGACGAAATATTCACCAGAAGAGCTATATCCTGGAATTGCTCTTCGAAATGAACAAATAGCTTACGCAAATGCTCACAGGTGTCCTTACGCTTCATTCTCATCTTCATCTGGAATGTTTGTCATTCGTGGAGATCATATTTGCGGTTGGGTTACAAATTGGATTGGAAAAAGGAACCATAAGCAGTTCCTTTTATTCTTTATTTACGGAAGCCTCTATTGCCTCTTTAGTTTCATCTCCAAATTCTTTGTTCCTGCAATTCTCGGAGGTGATATCGGAATTACCGTAATTTCTGGAATTAGTGCAATTTTAGAGTTCGTATTTGGCCTAACGCAACTATACGCATTTTACGAAAGTATGAGAGATGTTGTTTCCGGAGAAACAATGATTTCACAGTACAAAAACCTTCCAGCACGAAATATAACATGCATGGAAGCTATGTCCGAAGTTTGTGGTAATCGCGGCTTCAAATCTTGGATTTGCCCAACTTATGCATTTCCAGAAGATGATTTGACTCCTTATGTTTTAAATTAGTATATGTTTATGTTAATGATAGTATAAACTTTATATGTGTTTGTTATAAAATATTGAAAATACATATTTTAAAAAAAATTGTATTGAAACATAAAAGAAATTCATAAGGCGCATCTATTTCGTGGAACTAAGGCTTCCATAATTAAAATCTAAATTCAATCTATTTATTTGGAAGAATGGTTTCATCAGTAATTGAAATTACATTCCTAAGACTTACATATGCAATACTCTGTTCTATTGTTGAAATTTATATCAGATTTTTGGTGAAATTACAAAATGTTTGCATTATATCTATCGATTTTATAAAATATATTTTGTTTTCGATAGTTATAATGCAAATGTTGTGCTCAATTTTTGGATATATCATATGTGTGTCTCCAAATAACTTCCCAATAGCAACTTTGTATACAAAAGGAAAAATGTTATGGAGTTTCATTATTATATTAGTTCATTACATGACAGTATGAGCAATACTTTTAATAGTATTATTTGAGAACTAGGATTCGAGTTTTGCTTTGTGTAATTTTTCAATACATAAATCATTTTCAAATAAAGTTAATGATTTGCGACAGTGGCCTGTCCAATGGTATTATTTCACATAGAGCAGATATAGTCAATTGATATTTCTGATAAAGAATATGAAATATGTAAAGAGAAGTCTTTCAGAAAAACTGACATTTTACAAATATTTCTGATTGAAAATTTGAAAGAACATGAAATTTTTGAAAGGAGTACCTCTGTTCCCTAATTATTATTCATGTTCCAAAGGAATTTTGCAAAATATTCGATGTGATGAAGATAACTCTATTCAATTGGTGTGTTTCACAAAAAAAGGTTAGAATTACGTGTTATTATTATAATGTAATTCAAACTCATTATCGATTAGTTCAAAAATTTAAGGATAAGATTTCAGATATTTGGTTCATGATAAAATCTAAAATCTGATCATTATGGTTTTTTGGACGATATATCTGAAAGTTTGGCTTCGATAAGTTTCTCCATATATTCAATTTTTGGATTAATAACAGTTTTAATTGAATGGAAATCGTAAAAAAATTTATTATTGAATGAAAAAGGAGGTCAATGAAGAGATCAAACGTCTTGCTGGAAGTCCACCTCTTGTCACTATTCTAAAACTTATGGTTGGACCACTATGTTCGCAAGTTACAAGTACGCTTTATGGAATCATAAACACGATTTGGGTTTCAAAGTATATTGGTGAAACAGGTATGGCTGCCGTTGCAACAGACATTGCCTGGGAAGGTATTGCAAGAGCATTCGGATTATTCCTTCTAACATCAGCTAGTACTCAGATTTCTGCACTTTTCGGTAAAAAACAATTTGATGAATGCGAACAAGTCGTATGTGATTTACTCCGAACAGCAGTTATTTTTGGCTGTATTGTTCCAGCAATTCTTTTACCCATTAATAAACCTCTAAGTTGTTGGTTTGGAGCCAATGAACAAACTGTTCAAGGCGCTTATGACTATATGCTTCCACAATGTGCAGGCAATGTATTTACATGCATATTTCTTGCGAACTGTGGCTTCCTTCAAGCAGAAGGTCGTACTTTACTTGTTGGATGCATCGATATCATTGCATTAGGAATTGGAATGGGAGCCCTCAATCCATTATTCTTGGGAGTATTCAAATGGGGTGTCGTGGGTCCATCAATCAGTACAATTATTGCAGATGGCGTCCCTGGAGTTACATTAACAATTTTGTACTTTGCAGGAAGATTCGGTGTTAAGCCCAAACTTAGCGGTTTCTTGAAACCATTCTCAAAACATACAATTAATTCACTTTTAGTCGGAAGTTCCCAATTTATGTCACAAGTTTCTATGTGTATACCAGGTATTATTGTCAGAAAGTTAATAGGTATGTCTGTTACATCATCTACAGAATACGATTTAGCCATGTCTGGCTTCAATGTCCTTTGTAGATACGGAAATATTACAAATTGTGTAGTTCTTGCTTTTTGCAGTGGTTACTTACCACCAGCATCATATGCATATGCAGCTGAGAAATGGAAACGTTATCTCAAGCTCTCATTACATCTAGTTTGGGTTTCTGCTTTTTGGTGTATTGTAACAACAATATTCCCTATTTTCTTACCTGTACAGATCTCATTGCTTTTCGGCAACGGTGATGATTACTTGAGATATTCATCATCAATGCTCAAAGCAAGTAACGAATGTGGCTGGATTCTGTTTACTAGATTTACTTTCCAAACAATGCTGCAAGCACAGCAACGTGGTACTCGTGCTATGATTATATCATTCACTTCAAACCTCGTTGCTGTTATCGCTTTTTCATTTATTTTATATTATACGAACAAAAATGATGTTGCACGTTTTATGTACGTATATCCTATTTCATATAGTATCGGATGTGTCCTTGGTATCACTCTCCTCTTCAAACCATTCTTGGATGTCATTAAATTGGCAAGATCTGATAGCAAAGAGAAGAAGCTTGAGGATATCGATGAAAAGAATAGCGAAGACAAGTATTCTAGTACTAGCAGCGATAATGGAAATGATGAATGTAGAATGATCTCTGAACTTTAAGAAATTTTTTCAAATTTGTGTAAAATTTTCGAATAAACTATCTTTTTATAGAGTAATGTTAATTTAAATATGCTTTTGAAACATGCAAATTCACTATTTCATTATCATTTACTGTAATGAAATAATCGCTAAAAAATTACGGATAAGGAAGTTCACCGAAAATAGTATTTTCAGAAAACAAGCCCATAAATAACATAGTTTCTATGACAGTAGGTGTTTATATTTTGACAAAAATAAAAAAATAAAAACAAATTTTGTAATTCCAATATTTGCATAATATTGGAATGACCTTAGTATTAATTAACAAAATGCGTGAGAAATAACATTAGATAATATGATCCAAATAATTATTTCACATTAAATTAGTAAACAACATGCATCCTTTTGTTCAGATGTATCGATCGGAGGCTGTTCTGATGGATCTGGATTGGATCCAAGCTGTCCAATCAAGATTTGGAATGTATAAGGAGGGTCAATTGATTTGTTTATGATATTATCAAGCGGAGTTGTGCCGATCAACACTCTCCCATTGTATATTAATCGTATTTGCGATGATGTTGTTGGAGGATTCTGCTTTATCTCTGACAATTTAGGTAATAATGCTTGACGAATGTCTTGAACGGTGTAATTTAATGAAACTTCATTCATCGGAATCTTATCTTCACGCCCAGGAAGCATGAATTGAAGAGATGTCGTCATAAATGATGATGTTAGGTGAGAATGAAGGGTTAGATTTTAATGACGCAGAATTAAAAATCGCTCACTTCATATGAAATTTGAGAAAGATATTTTTGTAAAAATGAAATTACACTATACCTATGTAGGGTATGCTTGATCTGCAATATTTGAATATATTGAATTCAATAGGTTTTGAAATTTTGCAAATTACCTCAGACTTTTCAGAGGATTGAGTGGCAACTCAATCCTCTGAAATAGTCTGTGGTAATTTTTAGTCTCTACACTATTTCAATATAAACTCCATTTTTAAACAGTTTTTAAAAATCGAGGATTGAAAAGTGTGATGAGACTGGCATTTTATAGTAATTCATATAATTGAAATCTAAATAGTATATGTGTTATATTATTGAGACTTAATAATTCAATAATTTGTTGGAATTGAATGTACCTTTGAAAACCTTTGATTTAAATTTAAATGTAAAAAGGTATCAGCTTTTAATATATATAATAATGAAAAAGAGTTATCCAATTTCTTTGAAAAATTGAAATTGATCTAAAATTTTTAAAAAATCTTTGAATTGTAACATCCATACATATTTCATTATAATTAAGGGTTTCGTTTTGCTAAAATTGTCACTTTTATAGCATATTTGTTTTTGGATGTTTTGCGAAACCAAAAAAAAACTATGATATACAATGTGTGTGTAAAGAAAATACTTTATTTACTAGTTAAAAAATCATTTGGTATTGATCAAGTTATTTTTTCTGGATAAGATATTATATGGATAATTGGATAGAAAATACAATTATATAATCTTGTACCTGGTTTAATTAAGCTAATTGTCATCAGAAACTTGTAATTTTTATGAATTTCAGATTTTCTTTTCATTACTGCTTTTCTTAATAGGTCAAGTTCTTATTTACGTTATAAAGTATGATATTTATAAATATCAAGTTATCATGTTTTTTGAGAAATTATGAGAAACAAACAAAAATGAAAAAGATAGGAATAGCAATGAATAGTGATGTGGGTATAGAAAATGTAAGAGATATGAATGCAAAGCAATCAGTATTTAGGATATTGACCATAGATTTCGAAAAAAAAATGCTGCATATTGAGCGAAAACTATGATTATATTATAAGGCTGTCATTTAAAGCATAATGAAGCTATTCCCTTTTCATTTTAATCGAATAAGATAGTAAAGATTTTTGAATTAGCTAGAAACTGATGAGATGTTTTCACAAATCAGATTTTTAATCTCTATAATGCATAATTCACTCAATATCTCAATTTTGATATTGCGAGATATTTTTGCTATCGGTTTCGCAATTTTGACACAATAGCAAGAGGGTTCTATAAGCATTATTATCAACGTAGAATCTGAATATCATATCAGAAAATGTCGCAAATCTGACATTTACCCGACAAAATAGCAAAAATAATTGAATACTTTTCGCAAAAACTTTAAAAATCGATAAAAATATGAAATATAGATATTAAAGAGACTTTTTATATAATATTCATAAAGATTTTCCAAAAATATGATACCGCAAAATTAAAAAAGTGACGTCTTGAGTGGAGTCAAAGGTCGAAATTGCTAGCTAAATGTTTTTTTAGCGAAATTGCGTATTGTACGTTTTTTTCGCAAAACGAAACCCTTATATAGAACCCTCTTGCTATTGTGTCAAAATTGCGAAACCGATAGCAAAAATATCTCGCAATATCAAAATTGAGATATTGAGTGAATTATGCATTATAGAGATTAAAAATCTGATTTGTGAAAACATCTCATCAGTTTCTAGCTAATTCAAAAATCTTTACTATCTTATTCGATTAAAATGAAAGGGAATAGCTTCATTATGCTTTAAATGACAGCCTTATAATATAATCATAGTTTTCGCTCAATATGCAGCATTTTTTTTTCGAAATCTATGGTCAATATCCTAAATACTGATTGCTTTGCATTCATATCTCTTACATTTTCTATACCCACATCACTATTCATTGCTATTCCTATCTTTTTCATTTTTGTTTGTTTCTCATAATTTCTCAAAAACATGATAACTTGATATTTAAAATATCATACTTTATAACGTAAATAAGAACTTGACCTATTAAGAAAAGCAGTAATGAAAAGAAAATCTGAAATTCATAAAAATTACAAGTTTCTGATGACAATTAGCTTAATTAAACCAGGTACAAGATTATATAATTGTATTTTCTATCCAATTATCCATATAATATCTTATCCAGAAAAAATAACTTGATCAATACCAAATGATTTTTTAACTAGTAAATAAAGTATTTTCTTTACACACACATTGTATATCATAGTTTTTTTTTGGTTTCGCAAAACATCCAAAAACAAATATGCTATAAAAGTGACAATTTTAGCAAAACGAAACCCTTATTCTATAAGCATTATTATCAACGTAGAATCTGAATATCATATCAGAAAATGTCGCAAATCTGATATTTACCCGACCAAATAGCAAAAATAATTGAATACTTTTCGCAAAAACTTTAAAAATCGATAAAAATATGAAATATAGATATTAAAGAGACTTTTTATATAATATTCATAAAGATTTTCCAAAAATATGATACCGCAAAATTAAAAAAGTGACGTCTTGAGTGGAGTCAAAGGTCGAAATTGCTAGCTAAATGTTTTTTTAGCGAAATTGCGTATTGTACGTTTTTTTCGCAAAACGAAACCCTTACTATAATTTAGTATAAGTCAATTTCTATAGATATATGTGATTCATAAGTTATTTATCAATTTATATGAATATTGATTAAATTTCAAGAAAAGAACGCAAAAAAACTAACATTGAATCTATTAAAAGCTCATATTCTGATACAACTTATGTGAGATTTCAAATATCATATCGTACATGATAGAATGCATTAGCTTTGGATCAATAAAATTACAATCAAGCTAATGAAGAGATAGTGACAAAAGTTTTGAATATTTATAATCCACTGGTTCTTTTGCAATTACCCAAATTGAAAATCAATAGTAATATCTAATTTTCTAAAATCACATCAAATCATTATGATTTGTTTGATTTCGTTGTTAAATGTTATCTGATAGAATCTTTTATGAATATGTTCATAATATTATCTGCTTGGTTCGCTTTTATTTCATAAATCCATATGCTACCTGAAAGAATTTTGGTATTTTAAGTCAGGATTTGTAGGCAAATGGTCACTAATGAGTAGAAATATGATAGTGATCATACATTTCGACTCAGACTTAAATTGTTTTATGTTGAACTGATAAAAATTTAAATTAGAGACATCAAATATCATTTGTGATTTTTAATTTAAAAATATAATAAAAATTGGATCAGCATCAATTTTGATTCAAATTTTTTATCAATTATCAGTTGCGAAATGAGTGAAAAACAATCCGTTATTGTTGATATTCAAGATGTTTATCATCATTTTAGCTTATACCTTGAAACAAAAACATTGTTTAACATTGTAAATTTCGAATCACTTGTTACGGTTGTTGACGAAATTCAATTAGACTGTAATCAAGCTACAATTTTATTCGAAGAATGTCATTCAAGATACAACCAAGAACAATCATATATACTCTTCAGTAAATTACATCTAAAGCCCGAAACTAATGCAGAATCTATTCAAAAATTACTAAATGCTCTCAAGATGGCGATACATTCAGAATTTTTCGATTTTATGTCTAACTTTATAGCTAATTGCAATGTTGATCCGCATGCATCTGTTCAAGAACAGAAAGAAATCGCAAAAGAAGAAAAAAGTCCAGTTCAGCTAGCGCTCACAGAAGACAAAGATATAGAATATCAAATCAAAACACTTAAGCCATTCGAACTTGAAAAAGCTGGGAAAATAATTAATCGCATATATGAAAAGAAAAGTAAGAAGTTATTTAGCCTTGTATTAGAATACTGTATTGATAAGATGATTGATGAGAATGGAAATGATCTTGCTTTACGATTCTCAATCGAAAATAATTATGAAATTTTACAATTTATGGATTCAAACGGATTTTCGATCAACAAAACCAACACAAGAACAGGATATACGATATTGAACAACTTCATCAAAAACAGAAACTTCACAGCGATTGAAATTCTTATGAAAAAAGATCTTTTGAATAATTCAATAAAAAGTGACAAAGATTTTCTATTCAAATTGATCGAATGCGAATACAGTGATTTCTATGATAAATTATTCTCGATGAAAGAAGTCAATTTCAATTCGCCGAATGAAAATGGGCTATATATTGTTCATAAAATTGTTTTGATGAAAAACATCAATTTATTGAAGCGAATTTTATCAAACAAGAGGATAAACATCAACTGCCAAGACAGAGAAGGACAAACACCTCTTCATTATGCAGCTAAAAATGGTTACGAAGATATTGTGAATTTGTTATGTTCTTCTGGAAGAGTTGCTGATGATATAAGAGATTATTATGATAAAATACCTTTGGATTATGCAAATTCAATGAGTATTGTTAAGCTACTGCAAAACAACAAGACAAAGATCAAGAGCTTGTTGAATAAAACTGAGAAAGTTGTTGAATTTCTGTCGAATCCAAATATTTCATTTAATTTTGTCAAATATATGAATGAACAAAAAATTATAACAAAAGAAGTTGTTAGCGCAATAATTGAGCAGCAAAATGAATTGATCGGACAGTACATGTACCAGATTGATGTGCCTCTACCATTTAAAGCAAAAAATTCCGATATTTTGGATTTCATTAAATCTGATAATTTGGTCGGATGCATGCTAGCTTCTAAAGTGCAGGATATCAATAAAGAATATCAATCTTCATATGATACCTTCGATATTTGTCCTTTAATGCTTGCAATTAAAGAAGATAGTTACAATTGCGAGAGATTTCTTGTATTTCATGACAATATACAACCAAACTTTAACTGCTTATATAGTGCAGCAATTGCAGAAGATAAACTATGTATGCATCATTCCTATAAAATATTACTTATCTTTAGTAGCAAGATAAGAAAATAATATCAAGCTTAAATGATGGTATAAATTAAAAAAAAAATTAAACAATATTAATAGTTGTTTACTCACAGTTTAGTATTTGGTGAAGCTTAGTTAGCCTTTGGAGCTTCTGGCTTCTGCTCTGTGGCAGCGGCTGCTGGTGCTGCTGCTTGTGCGGCTTGCTTGCCCTTCTGGTTCTGGTGGGCGTTCTGCTTACCATGTGCTGCTTGTCTCTTGTTACTCATATCAAGAAATGATATGATTACTTATAGCTAGAGAATTTGTTAATATATTTTGACAAAAATGATTTTATCTCAATTTTTTTAATGTGCATTTTTTTATAAATATGATGTCTTATATATGGAATATTATAAATATCTTCATCTTGGAACACAGTTTCATGAATTTATTAAAATCGATTTTCTTTCATCAAAATAATAAATATGTTTAGTACTTATTGTATTATTAATATTAAATATAATTGAGAGTTGTTCACATTGAAAAAATCGAATATGTCAGAAAAATCGTCGCTGTGTAAATTTTTTGACATGTGTGTACTAGGAAAGTAATCATATCATTTCTTGATATGAGTAACAAGAGACAAGCAGCACATGGTAAGCAGAACGCCCACCAGAACCAGAAGGGCAAGCAAGCCGCACAAGCAGCAGCACCAGCAGCCGCTGCCACAGAGCAGAAGCCAGAAGCTCCAAAGGCTAACTAAGCTTCAAACATTTTAAACTGTGAGTAAACAACTATTACTATTGTTTAAATAATAGCTTTTTAATATTTTTAGCTTTAAATTTAGATTTTATATTTTGATTTTGATTTATCACACTTAAAGAAGTTGTCTTTCTAAAGTTGTAAGAATAAATATTTCTATTATTAATGATATTGATACTGACATATTTGTCCATCATGATAAAATTTGATCTTTCAACAAATTATTTTGAAATCACTAAAAAATAATAATAAAAAAAGATTACAACACATCGAAAAACAAATTTAAGTAATATTATATAAGTTTTTTACTTACAAATGTGATATTATCTAAAGTTTAGTTAGCCTTTGGAGCTTCTGGCTTCTGCTCTGTGGCAGCGGCTGCTGGTGCTGCTGCTTGTGCGGCTTGCTTGCCCTTCTGGTTCTGATGGGCGTTCTGCTTGCCATGTGCTGCTTGTCTCTTGTTACTCATTATCAAAAAATGATGTGACGAATTATAAAAAGAGAAACCGATGTCAAAAATTTTGTTTCAATTTCCGAATTAAATTCTCAATTATTTTTTCAATTGATAAGTGTTCACACAGAATGAATTTAAAATATGATTGAAATTTATATATATTCAAAAAAAAAAAAAAAAAAAAGGTAGTGGGGCTTCCAGGCGCGTTGCGCCCTCTAGCCCCGAAGATGTTTAGTATAAGTGAAGTTTAGAGGACATACATGACTATGAGTTTAGATATGAGAGATAGAATATGAGAGAGGTCCTATAAACCGGAGAAAGTGTCATATAAACATCTGTCATTTTACTCAGAATTTTATACAGAATTCAATAAAAATATATTTTAGGGTAGATGGTTAGATCTAACCTCATTTCTAACCTCATTTCTACCCCATATGTCCTTACTGAAAAAGTATGTGTTCCATCTGTCAAAAGCCGCTTTTTAACTTCACTTAAAATGCCACGTAAGCTACGTAAGAATATACGTAAGAGGAAGAGAGCATTGAAACATCCAATAGTAAGACTGACACCACAACAACAGTTGCAACAACAAATGCTGAATGACCCCACTATGTTGCAACAAATGTCAAGCAATCCTATGCTTTTAAACCGAGTCATTGGTGCACAGAGTGGAGGTTTAAGAGCGGCACTTTTAGCGAAAATGGCAGGCTATGGTGGAGCTGCAGACGGAACAGCCTATAACCCTCAAAGTCAAATGAATTTGAGTTCACTCAAAAATCAAATAACAGATGTCAAAAAGTCAAACATAGACATACAGAAGCAAATAAGTGAAAACGAAAAGAAACTAGAATATGACAGACACACAAAGAAACTCAATGAGTTAAACGTAGAGAAAAAGAAGAAAGAAGAACAACTGAAAGAACTAAGTACAGAGCAATATGCGAAGAAAGTGTCAGAAAAAGCAGCAGAAGTAGCAAAAATGGAACAAGATGTCATAAATTTGAAAAACCATACTACTCAATATAAAGTACTGAAAGATGAAGAGATAAAACAAAAAGCCCTGAAGACATATATGGATAGCGATGAGTATAAAAAAGAAGTTGAAGCAAATGTAAAGGCAGAAAAACTTTTACAGTTGCAAAACCAAACCGTACAGTATGAAAACTTAGCACAAGAAAGTAAAAATAACGACGCAGCCATGCAAAAGGCAATGAAAAGCGCAGAATATATAAAAGCTAACAATGACTGGTTAGATGCCCAAGCCAACGCTAAAGCAGCCCAACTTATAGGGTCAATAAGGACAAAAATACAAGCGGATGAAGACAGTTCAAATGAAGCTTTAACAAATGCTGACTTTAAGAACGCCTTCGAAGCTCTTCATAGTAAGGTGAAACAAGTGAACGACTTCTCATCTGGAAAGAAACTGAAGTCTGAAGGTTTCGACAAAGAGTTAAAAGAAGTAGCACAAAATATGACGAAAATAACAGATGCAGCAACGAGACAGGCAGTTCAAAGTGCCTATGACGCCGTTAGAGCAACTGTTGTGGAAAGTCAAGAAAAAGAGTTACAACAGACCAAAACAGACCTAGTAAATGCTTTCTTAAGAACGAAAAGTCAGGTAGGACATTACGCTGCAGATGGAACATATGTGCCAGCTGGTGGAACTTATATACCAGCTGGTGGAACTTATATACTAGCTAGTGGAACTTATATACCACCAAACCCTCCAAGAGAAGCACCTGCACCAGGACTACCTAAAACATTTACATCGTCACATGGACACAGACATAGGCATGCACCAAAACCAGCACAACAACAACCAGCACAACAACCACCTCCACAACCAGCACAGCAACCAACAGTTCAAAACCCAGCACAACAACCACCTCCACAACCAACACAACAACCAACAGTTCAAAACCCTGCACAACAACAACCACAAACAGAGCATGGACATAAAAGAAGTAGAGAACAAGGAAACCAAGAATTCTTAAAAATGCTTAAAGAAGAGTGTGGTTTCCCAGATACTGTTGACTTTAGTGACAGATATAAAGAAGCTATTAGAAAGTTCAAGGAAGGAAATACTGACCCGAACCTATTTAGCTTTATGGTTCAGCACCAAATGGGATATAATTTCAAACCTGGAAAATACAAGCTCGCTAAGGGATATGATTTAATAGCATATCATCCAAATGACATGGATGAATTTACTCCGAGATATTTGGTGTCAGAGCTAAATGACAATTCAACTCTCTTCATGAAACGCGTAAAAAATAGAGACGGAACGAAAGAAGAAAGGTTTATGAGTCCGGATGACTTAGATAGGGAACTTGTTAAAAACGGTCTCGGAATATATGAAATGCCAGCAGATGAGGTACAAGAAACTCCACAGGAAGAAGTTCAGATACAACCAGACATGGAAGAAATAGTTCAGCAACAACAGCTAGAAGAGCCTGAAGGAAACGAACAAGTCCCTCCTTTGGAAACTAACCTCACAGAACTAGATGAAGATTTGGAACAGCCGAAAAATCTTGACCCTCAACAAGAGTATGAGGTGAATATGGAATCTTTCCAAGAGTCTAAAAAAAATTCGGCTGACACAGTAGAAGAATATCGAAAAATTTTCACCGACATACAAAAGACTCCAACACCAGATGAAAATATTCAGCATAGAATGGAAGTACTGAAAGAAAATGTACACAAATACAACAACCCTTTTTACTTACGAGCATTTAACGTTCAATCTTTGGATGAACTCGGTGAAAATAAAAGGTTAAATTTCAACAAAACATATAGAAATGAAACATTGTTTAAAGTTCATTCAGAACCTAACCAAGATGGAAACAAACCTACTTTTGTTTCTGCAGACTATGGAACTACAATGAGATGGGGTCATAAAGCTAATCCGGATAGGTGGTTCATAAACTTACAACCTCAATTCCAAGAAGTTGTAGACGCAATGGAAGTGAATGGTGAACCAGATATAGCTGGTATTTTAAGCGCGGCTTTAATGCCATTGAAAGATATGAAACATGCAGATATTTTGGACCAGTATGAAATGAACATGGCTGATGGAAATATAACACCTGACGTTCTAGAACATTTATCTCAAAGAACTACACAGAACCATAGAGATGGTATATTTGGTGAAGAGTTTAGAAAGAAAGTTAGGGACAGAGAAGGAAGAGAACCTATTGTACATGACCTTGCAAACGAAAGTTTACAAAATGTCATAAAAACTTACTTTGCAGACAATGAACTGAGAAGGGATGAATATTTAAGAAAACTCAAATGGACAGTACCAAATGAAATGTTAGTATTGAAAAACATGTTCCTTGACAAAATAAAACCAACTACAGAAATAAATGACGAAAGACTGAAAGATTGGGTAAAAGCTTTCCCATTCACAAAAGATATTGTTGGTAACATGGAAAGAAAACCAGAATGGCTACAAAAACATATATTTGGAAACGAGCTTATTCCATATGGACAGGCACTGTTTGAAGAGCTTGAACCGGAAACTCAGGAAAGAGTCATGCAAACAATACGCGAAGACTCAAATACAAACTATGCCAAACTCTTTCTAGGATATTGGTTACCTGAGATGGGCGACCAGAGCCCAAAGGCAAAAAGGACATGGGAAATTTACAACATACTAGGTGAACATGAGGCAAAGATGCAACAACTTGAAGCAGAGGGCAAGTTACCAAAAGTTGCACCAAAGAAGAAGAGAAGAGTTGGAGAAAGTAGTGAAGAAGTAACTTCATCTAGTGAAAGTAGTGGCAATGAAGGAAAAAGAAGAGTTAAAAACTCAGTCAGGAAGAAAGTAAAGCTTGGTCCGAGTGGGTTCTATTATGACACATAAATCCAACTATTCTATATTTTTACCCATATGAAATGTACGCCGCTCAGAATATAACGCCAACAGTTTTGGATGCCATGAATGGAAATGTTTCCGAATGGTATAACGAATGCGACAATGCCATTAGAAGGTCAGAAATAGTTCCTGGAACTTACGAATATACAACTGCTGTTTCTTATGGAAACGTAGGTGAGTTTGGAGAAGGTTCTTCAACAACAGTAGATATTGCTTGCGACAGGTTTCATATTATTTCTATTGACAACTCTTTCTTATACGTGGAACAAGAGATTGAAATAAAACCTTCTGCCAAGTTGTCTGACAAGAAAGGTTGCAATGGAATTTTCTATGTCGGATACCAATATGCTCAGAAGTTTTCATGGGATATTAAGATATATTTCTAACTCTGACTTAGTTCAAACAGTAACATGGGCAAACTATGAATGGTTCGCTTTGAGAAACTCAGTACAACCACAAGCTAGAGAACAAACAGACCAGTATGCAAACTATTGAGAAATAAGAAGACTTGACCCTAACGTTCCAGGAGTTTATGTTAACCTTTCTGGACAAACTGCAGCAGCAGTAACCAAAGTAAATTGAAACTTAGAGTTCCTTTGTCATCTTTCCTCATCTTCAGGTTTTTAAGATACTTGCCAAACCTGGGCAGAGGAAAAATTTCTATTTCTATCGAACTTACTCCAAGCAAAAATAACTTAGTCATTGCACCAACACAAGACCCATTCACTCTTACAGACGTAAAGGGAGCAAATCAAACGTCATTCGCCGAATTTTGCAAAGACAAAGTTGACTTAGACTTTGGTTTCTCAAAACCTCAAACAACTGAAGTAAACTATTATTTCAATGCTGCTGGAACTGCTTGGGACCCAGTTAAGTTCACATGCGAAAAGTTTGAATGCAAGAGAATAGAAAGCAGACTTGCAGTCTATATGTTGGACCCAGATATTTCAAATGCTTTAGCTGCCAAATATATTGCAGTTCCACTTATGTTCCCTATACACCAAATATCTGTCAAAGACTTTGCAGGTGAAGTTGGAAACCAAAGTGCTGACCAGGTGCAAGAACAGATATTGCTTTAACAACTGCAATGAAACATGCAGATACTATGTTTGTACTGTTCAGACGAACTATAAATGACTATTCTTGTTCTACAACCCTGGTATTTAAATATAATAAAATAGGATGGCAATATTATCCAGAGAAGAATATTCTACAGTTGAGGATATGAGGTCATACAACTTGACATTAGATGCTATGAACTTTAACAACAACTTCACAACAACCATTAACCCTGAAATGCAAAGTTCTATTATGCCATATGTGAAAGTATGGACTCATACAGGAGGTCAAAAAACTCAATATACAAATGGAGACCGTTCAAACTTTTGGCTTGGCATTCCATTTGCTGACTCAGAAGACTTTATGGGTGGTATTTCAACTGTTTGGTACAGTTCAAATACAATATACTGGTGACAGAGACGGTCCAGATGAATTGAAAGCAAAGAAGTTTACAAAACCAATAGCACTTTTCACAGAAGATGCTCTTTTGAAGATTCGTTTCGATGAAACCTGCTGGGGCTCCTCAGATTGGTATAACGACAGCTTCCATCGAGCAGATTTTGGCAGCAGGTCAGTAAGTTGTTCTTGAACTGACTTCTCTCCGTCAAATATTGACAGTACGCCAGTTTTGACATAGTATTGTATTATAAACTTACTTTAGAAATATCGGTCAGTTTTGTTGTTATATTTTTGTCAACGTCAAGAACTTTCACCATTTCAGTTATACCAACTTTCTTTGCTTTATGAAATATTTTGGTTCAGCAAAGACTGCTATTCTATAACATTTTCCATTGTTTGTATAAAGAACTATTCTGTCAATGAACTTGTATTGTTTGTGTGTGTAAACTTTGTTTTGCTTCAATTCGAAGAGATACTCAAATACGTCCATCTTTTTATTCTAAGTAAAATGTCATTTCCGAAAAATAGAAGCGTAAGTGTTTCAAAAGGTTTAATGGCGGTGGCAGATGTGAAAGTTAAATTCACCAACTCAAACAAACAGTCAAAGTGTTGTTGTCAATGTCAAAGAAAGAGATGTTGAAGTGGGGAAACCATACGAAGACGAAGATGGTATAACAATAGTTCCTGTAAAAGAACAACCAACATATCCTGAAGTTAGCAGAGACTTAAGTTCTGTTGCAGATATTCGAAACGACTACATGCAACTTAAAGACAAACTTAAAACTCAGGAGAAGATTTGTCAAGCTTTAGGTATAATGTTAAACTTGGTCGAACACAACCCTGTAAAAGTGAACTCATATGTCATTGCACCTCATGAAGTTTTGAAAGAACTATTGAAACTTTTGACAGAGGCAGACGATATAAACATCAAAGAAATAGAACCCGACATTGCTTGCTGTGGTGTTTCATATAATGTCATTGACAAGATATACGTTATGAAAGGAGGTGAAACGTTGAACTTAAAATATAGTTTCCCAGACGTCATAAAAATATTTGACGACCACAACATTTCATTAAAATTTACTTGCTAAGTAAAAATGGCAGAAGACATAGTGGTTTATACTATTACGACTAAAAATCCTGAGTCATATAATTCTATAACAACAAACTTACAAAGTCCTCAAGGACGATATTGTAAACTGACCTTAAACACGATGACGACTAAAGCCTGTTTTGCTCTTTTGACACCAGAAGATTTTATTGTTGTGAATGGTAAAAAATACTTCTTTGAAGATACTTACTCAGATATACCACCAACAGGTTTTGTTGACTTATTTAATACTTTAAGGACGGATGTAACATGTGCTGCAACTAGAGCAGGTTTCATTATGTTTGGATGTCCGACTGAGTTTACTATAAACGATATGAGCTATAATACAAAACTTATATCTGGTTTTTACTACCAACAGTTTCCTATAACAGGAAAAGGTGTCATACAAGGTCTATCTATTCCATTGACTTTAAGCACACCAATCTTATATATTGTTTCAAACTTAGGTTCAAAGTGCTATTCGAATGTCGACAGAAACTACTATGACCAAAAGATACTCATGCGTATAAACAACACTTTCTCTGCTGGTTTGCCTATTGTTCATTCGAATGCAGAGTTTTCAGCTTTAGTAAACTCAAACACTTTAGCAAACATAAACTTAACCTTAGTTGACGCAAACTTTGTTCCTGTAAAACTTTTATGTCCTATGTATTTGTCAATGACAGCAGAAAGTTTCGAATTGGAAGATGCAACTGGTGAAAGTATTGTACTACAAGAACAACTTCAACAACAAATAGCTCAAGAACAACAAATGCAACAACAAAGTCAAGAATAAAAAAAATATTTTTTTTATTTTTATAAAAATGTACAGAATAGATGTTTCAGATTTTTATGACTTCCAAGCCTTCAGAAATATGTGTCCATTTAGAGACTATAACAAAGCAGTCGAGAATTTGAAACGTTTAGTCATTTATGTCGACTCTGCCCCAGAATGTTATGTTATGAAAGAATGGGATGTAGTCTTAACAAACCTAAAGCGACAATAGTTTCAGAACAAGAATGTAGACAGAAACTTAAGAAAATAAAAGTCGTACAAGTTGGCATGAAGATGTTAGATGCTTGGGATATCTTATTGTCAAACTTGAAGATTTTTCAGTTCGTGTATAAAGTTCTATACACCATCTCCAAACTTCTATTCTATCTTCACTGGATATAAATACGAACAAGTAGAATGGAAAGAAAATGTTATAGAAGCTTGTTAGACCATGTCAAAGAAATTATATGCAATGGAAACGAAAGAGTCTATGAGTATATCTTATGTTGGTTTGAAAAACATCTTACAACATCCAAGTGCTAAAAATGAAACTGCTCTCATTATAATTGGAAAACAAGGAACAGGTAAGAAAACTTTCTTTACAGATATCTTATGCAAACTGTTAGAGGGCTATTCGAACCCTAATATGACAAACTTAGAAAACATCTGCGGTAAATTTAACTCTTCAATAGAGAATATGAAACTTATAGTATGTAACGAACTTCAAAGTATAGATACAACAAAAGTTTTAACTCAGATGCTTTGAAGAGTCTTATAACAGACAAAGTTGGAGTTGTTGAAAGAAATATAAAAGACCAAAGGGTTTGTGAAAATGTTGCAAATTTCATCATGGTTTCAAACAATGCGTTCCGATGAAGTTAGAAAGTTCTGACAGAAGATATGGTAGTTGTCAGAACGTCAGAAGCTCATATGCAAGATACAGAATATTTTGACGACTTAGCAGAAACTTTGACATCTGACTTTTACAACCACTTGTTCTCATATTTCATGACATTAGATATTTCTAAGTTCAATCCAAGACAAATTCCACATACCGAAGAGAGACAAACATTGTTAGAAGCAAACAAGAGTGTATATGAACTTTTCATAGATGAGACTAACTTTGAGTGTTTAGATGAAAGGTCATTGTACGATTCGTATAAACAATATTGTCAAGAGTATGGTTATATGACAGCGTCTAAACGAACATTCTTGCAAATGTCAAAAGTCTTTTAGACGTACAGAATGGTGTATATACAAAGAAAAATTTTTCTGAGTAAATTTTTAAAAAAATATTTTTTTATCCGATAGAAAAGATGACGAAATTCATCTCAGTAAACAAGTACATGTCAGGACTTAAAGAAGAACTAGACCCATTCACATATTTGAATTTTACTTCTACCATTTTGAAAAGTCTACATTTGACAAAGTTTGGAACATCGAACCAGTTAAGTTTGCTATTGTGACTAAAAATGGTGCGAAATTTGAAGACTTAGACATAGAAGGTTTGTTAACAGTCAAAGAAAGTTTTGACAGAAGTTTTCAAACCTTAAAGAAGGCAAAGCATACAAACTTGTTATACCTTATGAACCAAAGAAAGCAGACGACTATGAATATTATGAGTCTAAGATAGTTGAAGTTCAAGGTAAATTGGGTAAAAAGATTTTAGAGTCTAAGCCAGTGTTTGCTCTAAAGAGGAAGAGAACATTGACATTGACCCAGAAATGTTCTAAAAATAAAATTTTATTTTTACATGTCAAATTTCTTTTTCTCTGGTTCAGGTTCTTTCTTCTCTTCTTCTACTTTCTTTTCTTTCTTTTCTCTCTTCTTCTTTTCTGTGGAGTTATGTCAAACTTCTCAGAACCATATTTTTGTAAAAGTGCTTTGTCATTTAATAGCTCTTCTATTCTGTTTTCTATTTCATCTTCAAGAACAGCGCATGTGTCTTCTTTGCATTCTAAGAAGTTTTGTTGGACTTCATCTCTCCAAGAGGCGTCATCTCTGTCAACAAGTCTGTCATTGACAAATTTTAAGACTTCTCTGCTTAATGTTTTATGGTTCTTGTCATATTCCCAGAAACAGAACTTTAGAACAAATTCCCCTTTCTTGTTTACACTATGTAAGATTTTATGGTCGACAGATGTTTTTGCTGTCGAAAAGCTTGTCTCGAATATAAATAGCGAAATCGCTAGAACATTTTCTAAAAGATAAAAATTTTAATTTTTCTAAAAAATGTTAGAAAAAAAGTTTGCTGACATTGACAAGAAATTTGAGAATGTTTTAAACAAGAACAAGAGGAAGTTAGAAAATGCTCAGATAAAACCCATACATGACAAGTTCTTATTTGCTCAGAATGGTATAACAGGTCTAATCGCACCACCTGGGTCGGGTAAGACTTTCACTTATCTTAAAATGGCTGCACAACAACAAGAACTAGATGAGAAGAACCCATTCTATGAGTTAGTAGTCATTTGTAGTACTTCGGGTCAATTTGACCAAACAGTCAATTCGTTCAAAGATATTATAAAAAAGTCTAAGTTAGTATGTATAAAAGATACTGAGTGTTAGATTGGATAAAGAAGTACCAAAGAAGAGTTTTGAAGTACAATGCTATAAATGAGTATATAAACTCGAAGTTTAAAGACCCAAATGAGGAAATGCAGAGAATATTAGAGAAGAAACACTTCAGAAACAAACAGAAAGAGATAGAGTACATTTCGAAGAAATTGCAATCTTACGATTGGAAGACTTACCCTCACAGATGTCTTCTTATCTTAGATGATTTCGCCTCTCATCCTTTGTTAAAGAACAGAGAACAAGACATGTGTCGAATTCTTAAGAAGCTCAGACACTTTAACATCTCAGTTGTCATTTGTGTACAGACAGCCAAGAGTTTAAGTAAGGATGTAAAGAGAATACTTACTGATATCATACTTTTCCCCGGATTGTCCGAAGACGATTTCATGGAACTTATGAAAGAGTCCATGGCAGGTAAGTTTGACAGACATGAACTATGGGAGAAGTACAAAGTCATACAAGACCCTCATACTTCTTTCAGAATTCATATCTACGCGAACAAAGTTCAAATTGTAAAAAGTCAAGCGTAAAAAATGTAAGTGTTTGAGTCTTAGTCTGTTGTGGTGCTGGGGCTGTCGGTTCTTCTGGCTTTGGAAGACATTCAGGAAGAGGAACGTCGGACATTCGTTTGTGTCCTGTCGGATGGAAGGACTTTTCCAGTTGTCGGGAAAATATTTTCCTGTCGGAAGGAAATTTTTTTCCTGTTGGAAGGAAAAATTTTTCCTGAACTTCGACCAAAAAGTTCTCAATTTTCGAAAATTTGAATGGTTTACGGACGAACAACAGGAAATTTTTTTCCAGTTGTCAGGAAATTTTTTTCCAGTTGTCAGGAAATTTTTTTCCTGTTGTCGGGAAATTTTCCTATCGGAAGGAAATTTTTTTCCTGTTGGAAGGAAGGACTCGGAATGCCAGAAGGATTTGACAAGACAATTTACCTTATAGAGCTACCTGAGCCATCTTTGGTGTCAAGCTTGAAAAATAAATGGTTCATCTACTCTGCTTGTTTGAAGTTGTCAAAATACTCTGTTATTTTTTCCTTTAACAATGGCAAATCTTCTTTGAATGTAAGTATTGTACAACCTTTCATATCATAGTGTGTTTGAGGTAACGTATCTTGAACTATCTGTTTAACATCTTCATTCGGTGTCATTGAAATCGGTAAGTTTTCGCGATAGAACCAATTTCTGTCAGATTTGTAAATCTTAGCAAGGTCGTAAAAGCTTTTGTTGTTTCTTCTGACTAAATGCAACATAACCATATCTCTGTCTTCTTCATTTTCCATCTCTTCAGTGTAAATCATATACTTATAGTTCTTTTCCTTTCCTTTTGGTACCGAACGTGGTATTCTTTTCTGTATGGTTTTGTCTTTTGCTTCAATGACTTCATCTTTTGCTTCAAGCTTGTTCTCTAGCTCTTCACGTTCTTGTCTATGAATTTCGTCAAGAAGTTTGTAAACATGCCATGCATAACGAGGTGAAGCCCACATTGCAACAGCATTTACAAGAAGTCTATGTACATACCAACCTCTCAAACCAGGAGCCAAATTTTTACGATTTTCATGTGTTTTATGCAAGACCGAAAAAAGTCGGTCTAGAGAAATTTCACTCAAAAGTTCTTGTGTGCTTTGGTTTTTGAACCAGTCGTCTGCGTGTTTAGTGTCTGGAGCAAAACATGCTGTCAAAATACTTCGCATTTGGTACATGTCATCTTTGACCGAACGAATGAGACGTAACTGTTTGTTATACTGAACCCACTCATATTCTTCATCTATAGCTTCATGAACGATAGCAGTTGTTGTGTTCTCTGATGTTGACATATCTGTCTTTACATACAAAATAAAAAAATAAAATTAGCGTTATTTTCTATCTTGTATAAAAGACCAAAAATAAACGCTTTACATGTATTTTTCAGCAACTTCGTCAAATAATTTTATAGCACTATCTATCTCATCTACTTCAAACGTTTCTTTACCTTTTCTAGGAGCACCATACATTTTCTCAAACTTTTCAAGTAGTTCTGTTTCAGCAGCTCTCATATCATTTACAAACACAACCTTAACTCTATTGACTGTATTGTCATATCTTTGAGTTATATTAAATGTTCTTCCTATCTTATATCTCTTTGTATTGAAGTCCTTCGGTTTCTGAACGATGTAAAGTAAGCCTTCACTGCAACGTTCCGTATCGAATGAACCATATGTTATGAAATTATATCCAACAACTGGGTCTAACCATAACAAAACTATTGGTATAAGACTTTTGTCTATAAGATATGCTCTTGTTCCATAGAATCTTACCGATATCATAAGCTCAGGATTTCTTGTCAAAATTTTCTGAGTTGAAGCATTTCTAACCCAGTCCTTTGCTTTCTTTTCAGATAGTGTTAGAATGTCTGACAAAGAATATTTGTTGTATTTCTTTGAGTATCTTACGTTTAAATCACCAATTCTAACCACTTTGGTGTCATTGTCTATCTTTTTAACTGTTTCAAACTCAATGTTTAACATTTCCTGTTCTTACATACAAAATAAAAAAATAAAAAAAAATAAAACTAACTTTTTTTTCTATCTTGTATAAAAGATATGATTTCATAGAGTTTTTTTACGAAGTGTAAAAGTTCTCTTCGTCAAAAAAATACAGTTATATCATGATTTTTGGTCATTTTTTCACGATTTCATAGAGTTTTTTTACGAAGTGTAAAAGTTCTCTTCGTCAAAAAAATACAGTTATATAATGAAATTTGGTCATTTTTTCAGCAAAAATATATTTTAGGGTAGATGGTTAGATCTCACCCGTTTTCTCACCTCTTTTCTCACCTCTTGAATTTTCATGAATTTCTTCGTAAATGTTTTGTTAAGATTTCATCGTCAATGTTTTGTTAAGATTTCATCGTCAATGAGTGTAAATGACCCAAAAATATATTTTAGGGTAGATGGTTAGATCTCACCCGTTTTCTCACCTCTTTTCTCACCCCATATGTCCTTACTGAAAAAGTATATGTTCCATATGTCATTTTACTCAGAATTCAATAAAAATATATTTTAGGTGAAGAGGTGAGATCTCACCCGTTTTCTCACCTCTTTTCTCACCTCTTTTTTCACAAGCGTCTTACATGAATTGTACGATGTATATTTGAAATTCTAAACAATTTTGTGGCTTCGATTTCCTCTGTCAGTACATCGAATGTTTTAACAATGCCGAAGGTTTCTTTATATTTCTTCTTGACATCTGAAAGAAGGAAATCGTCAGCAGTTGGATAGTTTTTGTTCAGAAATGTCAACATGTCCATTTTATCTTCTGCTGGTTTCTCTACTTCTTTCTTTAAGTCTGCATAGTCGTTTCTCATACGTTCTATCTCTTTGACGGAGTAGTTATATTTCCTCATTGCTGCTTTACATTTTGAACATTGTGGGTTCATTTTAGCATTGTACATTGAAATTTGTCCTGCTAAAACAACTAAGGCGTCAATGGTTTTCTTTAACTCAAAAGTTGCGGGTTTTATCTGTTCATTCCATACCTTACCTCTTCTATCTTCATCTCTTATCTGCCATACACACTCAGCAACTAACGAAACAAAGTTGTCGTAGGTCTTAAACTCCCCAGATTTATATATGTCAGAGATGTTCTTATATAACATGTCGCAGTCTTTGTCCATGACTTTGTGGTTGCAATGAAATCCAAGAAACTCATAGTTTACCTTACGTATGAACTTCTTTATTTCTACTGAGTCAGTCAGTCTGACTTCTATTTCATCGAATTCAGGAATAGTGAGCTTTTGTTGTTGTATTTCAGGAAGTTTAGGCAAATGGTCAATAATATCCTGCATTTCATAAAGATACTGTCCATTTGTTTCATCTTTCGCACTACAGTTTAGATCTCCTTGGAGAAGTTCTTGCTTTATCTTCTGGATTTCTGTTTCGAAAGTATATGAAGAAGGAATGAAGCTTTTCATTTCTACTAACATTGAAGTTGGGTTCATGACTAACGAGTTTGGTGCTGTTGTTGCTAACATGTTCTTACAATAAAAATAAAAAATATTTTTTTAAAAAAACTAACTTTATTTTTTATTTCGGGAAAATTCATGAAAATTCAAGAGGGTGAGAAAAGAGGTGAGAAAACAGGTGAGATCTCACCTCTTCACCTAAAATATATTTTTGTCGAATTCAGCACAAAATTCATGAAAATTCAACGGGTGAAAAAACAGGTGAGAAAAGAGGTGAGATCTCACCTCTTCACCTAAAATATATTTTTGTCGAATTCTGTATAAAATTCATGAAAATTCAACGGGTGAAAAAACAGGTGAGAAAACAGGTGAGATCTCACCTCTTCACCTAAAATATATTTTTGCTGAATTCAATAAAAATAAATGGTTCATTTACTCACAATATTTTTGTACAAAACGACCCCAAACTTTTAACTTCTTTTCTGCAGCTTCTAATGCTATCTTAGCGAGTTCATATTCTCTAAATTCTCTCTTTAAATCTTCTTGTTCCCATTGGTCTAGTTCGTATGGAGAGTCTCTATAACCATAACATATCTCACGTTCATGTTCTATTTGTTTTTCGCACATTTTTCTAACTTCTTCTTCGAACAAAGGTTTTGCATTCTCTACTGTATCTTCAAGTTCTTCTTCATCTAATTTCTCATGAACTTTCTTGTCTATGGAGTCCAGAATTTTTCCAACTGCTATACAATATTTTGGAGAAGCCCACATTGCTATATAGTTTAGAAGTCTTGGGTCTACATACGTTCCTCTAACCTGTTTGATTTCATCCGGAATTCCTGCATGAACTTTGTATAAAAAGCAACCGTCGAAATTCTTCCGGTTGGTATATTCTTCACAAAATGCCTTATAATACTCTTCCCAGGACTTATTTTCCAACAACTTTCTAAAGTCTTTCCTAAACTGCTGACACATATTTGTTGCATTTATATAACCATCCTTGTCTCTACGTAAGACTTCAATACCGTTGTAAGTGCCTTTTGTGAATGTTTCGCCATTAGATTTGTTCGTGAACGTTTTTGCTTCGACTGACATTTCTGTTCTTACAATAAAAATAAAAAATATTTTTTTAAAAAAACTCACTTTTTTTCTATCTTAAGGATACCCTTACGTGTCAGATTTTTTGCGCATACGAAGAAGTCATGCTAGACATGAGCTATAAACCTGAAATTTTCGCAACATATTTAAAACTTTTTAAACTACAATACACTTTAATATTCAAGAACAAAAATATTCTTTTTAGAAATTACATAATTATTTTATGTGAAATCTATATAAAAACATATTTTGCGAGCGTAACTTTTTTCTTTATAAGCACCTTATATGACTGATAAACTGTGAAGGCATATAATTGTTAATTCATAGAGTTGATATGTTTCCAAAATTGAGAGGAAATTTGAAAATTGAATACCCTTTCAATTCAATTTTCAAAAGATATCAGCTCCTTCAATAATTGAAGGACGATTTTGATCATTTGCTCTTAAAACAAGTATGCCATGGAGAAAAAAATTACGCTCCCAAATCTGAAATATAACTATCATATAAAAAAATTAAATTTCTAATTTTTTACTCTATAGATATTATTGGCCACTTGTGTAATGCATAAAAGTTTATTTCATATGCATACATTTGGAAGTATGGGAGACGAGGGAAATTACTTCTATGAGGCACTAGGATTTTTAAAAATTTCTCTATCGGACTCACCATTCAATTTCTCGAAAATTAAAAAAAAATCAATAATAGCTAAAATGTATTATGCATAACAAATTTTAATGTTACACGGTATTTTTTGAACTTCATGACATGAATTTTCTTTATATTATTTTTTTTTGGATTTTCTATGATTTATGCGATAGGCTGGAACAACATTGTAAGTGCAATGATATCATTTATAGAGAAATCTAAAACTTCAGCATTCAGAACTCGCAACCACAAAAATATTCATTTGCTAAGTAAGTAAAGTTGATTAAGTTCGACACTTAGCTTTTATACGTAAAACCAAGTGTGTATTGTTATTTCTTGTTAAATTATTGAGAAAAAAATAAATTGTAAGAGAAACGATACTGATTATTGAAATAATATTGAGGGTAGCTGCAGATTTCTTCATTTACATGCCGGAAATTTGTTAATCTTGGTTTTCTATCATAAAATCTGTCGAAGAATCTAAAAACGGAGATATGAAATAGAGATCATGTAAATCTAGAGTATCCTGTCAGAAAAATAGACTAAGCATGTAACCCTTTTTTGGTCATAAACACTTTTTACCACTTAGTCATACAGATGATCATTAAATTTAAACGAGCACTTTTGTCAGAATTTATTCTTTTACAAAGACAGAAGATTTTAGTATTATTTAATATTAGTGCTGTAGCAAAATTCAAAAAATGGTGAAAATTCAGTGAATTTGTGAATTCACATTTTTTTCGACATTTTTCTTGATATATCCATGCACATTAAGAACACAGCTTTGATACGCTTAAAAAAGTATATTTCATATGAAATTGTTAAAGAAATAAACAATTTATATAAAAATTGCACTTATGGGCAGTTTAGATATATAATTTATATATAACATATATACAAATCCATAGACAAAGTGCAATAACTACAATGTTGTAGAAAATTACAGCAGAAATACTGACTTTTTGAAGGATAATAAGAATTCTTCTAAATGTTGTATTTTTATAATTTGATTGATTTTTTTTACTATTTCATTAATCTTTTATGAATAATAATTATTTTTAATATATGTGCTATTAAAATTTCAAATTTTGACTAATATATCTAAGTTATCTGAACGAAACATTTAGAAAATATCATACTTACATTGAAATAGCAAGTAGAGCATATTAATAGCAAGTTTCTTGGCTTTATATCTATCATCTATTGTTGTTTGATCAAACAAAATTCACTCTATTATATGGTGTCAATTAATTAAAAACAATTTTTAATAGTTATTTATTTAGTGCGAATAAGTGCAAACTCATAAATGAATAACTTAATAGTAGAAATGAATTATCTGATATAAATCTCACATTTTGTCCATCAGAAATACTTTAATTGCATACGCATAACTATTAGTAATACGTCTGGAGTGTCAATTAATAACAATCCCACAACAAGTAAAATTCAGATTTTTATTAAACTTATTTTTTTCCTAAAAGTTTTCTCAAATTACTATATATACATATGTGGATAAAATAATAGTAATATTGTAAA